GGACATGCATATGGTTGATGAAACATGTTGAGAACACGTTGAAGCTACTGCACTGACTCAGGCATGATCATGTATATGCGACTGCACCTTTACTATGGTACCTCCTGTTTAGATCAGGGTACAGGATCCCCTGGGGGGCCAATGGGCACTCAAATACAGACATGGAAGTACCGCACGCATATCCATACTTCAAAACATTGTGGATTTACCTGGGTACGCGTGTGGTCAACCAACGGGGCCGTGATGCGCTGTCATGGAGTAGTCCCTGTGACCGTGATATGGCCTGTTTAGGCAGGTCGGGTAGGGTAGACGCCGGAGAGAAAAAGATCCGCGCGTTCACGGACTTATGCAAGGCGCTGTAGGAAAGTCATCCACTCTGTGTGAGTCTGTCGTAGCCGTGGTCCATGATTTCCACCATCCCCTTTGATGTGGCTTGTACGATCACAGATCACTTGGACGGTGACCTCACATCACTCGCGTCTTGTACGTTGTTGTGCAGCACATGGTTGCTCGCCAGCCGTCGACACCTCTTTCGCAAAATGGATGTCTGGTCGACCCTCGAGGATGGTTCCTTCGCGACATTCGACGAATTCCTCAAGGGTTCACGACACGCCGCGGAGTACATCCAAGAGCTCTATCTGGGGTGGGATCAACGCCCTTGGGCGCAGTCCGAGGCACCTCTAGCGGATCCACGCAAGAAGCCAGCGCGGATCAGCTTGCGCCGCCTCCATAGTATCGTGCAGCAACTTCCCCTCCTCCGCAAACTCGTAATCAACGACGTCGGTCAGACCACGGACGGCTTCGTCGTGCCTTCTTTTCCCGCCCGGCCGGCCATTGACAATCTCGAAATCAAGTTTATGGTTTTCGAGGAGGACAGGGATGGACCCCTTGACGTCCTCAGGGTGCTCGGCCTATTCTCTGAGATCGGCGTGGTCTCGTTGTCTGAGTGGTGGGAACCTACCTCGACTGTGAAGCCCGAGGTGCTTATGCGCGACTTCGTATACCCAGGCCCGGTGGAGATACATGGTCTGACAATGCATCAAATGTCTTTGTCGTGGCTCCCGCTTGTTTACCGCGCAATACTCAAGACCGGGTCGCTCAGAAAGGGAGGACCGCTCCAGACGTTAACGTTGCAATTGGACTCGTGCCCGTGGGATGGGATCGTAGTGGCCGTTGGGTGGCTCTTGCGGGAGGCGGGTCAGAACCTGAGGTTTCTACGATTTGATCCTCTTCGATTGCTTGAATATTATGACGGTACGTCGACCCTACATAAAGACTACCATTCGGAGCCGTATCCGCGTGATAAAGGCTCGCCTTGCAGGTTCCAATCGACTGTGGGGAAGGACCAATTTCTCCTCCTGCACTGCTCTCGTCTCGCTCGTCCTCAACCTCGACTACTCATGTTATATGCGCAACGAACTCGGGATTCGCCTTGGCAAAGAGCTTGGATTTCGCATATATCAAGAGCTGCTCGCAGACGACTGTCCACCATCCCTCCAGCGGATCACGTTCCGTGTGAAGCTCTACAAAGAGCTCCAGGATCGTGACGGCCTGTTCTCGATGCCGTGGAATACGATGGAGAAGGTCTTGTTGAACAGCAGGACATTGGAGGAGGTCGTGATAGACTTCAATACTGGGAGTTACGATGGAAGAGAGAAGTTTTGTGAGATGATGCCGACGCTGGACAACAAGGGCATGTTGACGTTCCGATACCATGAGGTGAGACTCTCCAAGTCGTCAGGCGTGTTGCGGTCAGAACGTTGACGTGCATCGGCATGTACAGGACGGCGACGCCGAGTCGTCATACTGGTGGGATCTCCCCTTCTGAGTTATAATACAATCGCCCAATGCCTTTCAGGCCATGGTCTGCTATTTACGCTCTCCGCCGTCGTCTGTCAACATCGATGGAGTATAACTCGTAGTACATTTGAAGCGGTCGCCCCCCGCTTATCTTGTCGTCGTCTGAACGCATGAGAAGTCTCCTGGCACGTCTCAGGGGCATTGCGTCATACTACGATACCTTCCGAGGACCAAGGAGAGGGCTGCAGTCGTGCTGTGAGGTGTATGAGGTCTTCGCTCGCTAATCCATATGGTTGTCACCAACATACTTCGTGCCCGGTAACATGGATCGCCTAGTCTCGTATATGTCTTGTCCTTGTCCCTACCTTGACTGGTATCAGAAACCGTCGGTTTTGTACCGTGTACAGCTCTTCGCTGAATACATGAATCATACCTGATTCTCGAAATGAAGCCACACGGTCCTATCCTACAACACTTGAGTCTCCTGTTCCTTCATTGCCTATACCAGGACGCTGCCTAGCAACTGTAGGTCGTACACAGTTATCCGCCCGAAAAAGTCCGAGCTCTCCTCGAACACCAGCTTCAGGCTATCCACGTTCGCATCTGCGATACCGGCCTCTGTTGAGGTCAAGTCGAACGCTTGCTTCCTGTTCACGTCTTCGGGGTATATATGCGTTAACGTCCGCCACTTCTGCTCTCCATTCTCCAATATCTCGATCAGTGTTCTTGTGCCTACGAAGCCCCCCTGGAAAGTGATCTCTACCCGTTTGGGTGAAACTGGCTTCGGAAACGTTAGTTGGATGTATTGCGGTGTTCCCTATGTATGTCATTAGCGTTGCAACCGTGAGTCATGATGGGGGTTACAATTTGAATCGTACCTGTTGTGAGGTCCAGCAGGTCTCTGGACTGCCATCGGTCAGGAATTTTTTCCCTACCGATTTGTCCAGTGTGGAGCTCACTCTGTTTACGAAGACACGTCAGTATTGATCAATCGATCACGGGTGATGTAGGCTTCAACGCACTTGATTTTAGTGCTTGCATCAATTAGCGGGTCCATGCGCTCAGACATTCTGCAGGCAGTTTCCAATAGAATGAGGGCTCCGCCAGTGCAATTCGGAGCGTTCCTTCACTCCTGCTCCTCGGTGTATCTGGTGCGCCAGAAGTGGAAGTTGGGGTTATGGTGGGTTCCGACGTCGAGGCAATCCACTTTCCTATGACGCCTCCATGTCACGTGTAACATACCCGGGTGAATCGCGTGCAAATCTACGTCGTATCAACCTCCTTGGCCTCTCGACCATGACATCGTAGTCACAACTCTCCTCTGTACACCCAGCATCTGCTTGCGTGCGCACACGCTCTCGGTGTCTAGCGATGTCAGAAACAATCCCAGGCCTCCCGGGCTGGCTCGAACGCTCCCACAACCTCGAGCACCTCACCGCCGTCCTCCGCACGCTCGCGAAGCGCGAGCGCACCCGCAGATCCGCCCGCTCTGCCTCCCAGCACCCGTCGCACCCCCTCAAGCGCCACTGGCTCGCGCACCTCGCGTCCACCGTGCAGACCAACGCCGAACACGTCGCACACTACTCCATTGCTGTCGGCTCGGATCCCGCCTACGCCCCGCTCAACCGCTACGCCGATATCTATCCCTACGACCGCACGCGGGTCGTCGTCTGCCCGGGGGACGACAGCCATGCCTGTGGTAGCGGCTGCGAGGCGGGGCGCTACCTGAACGCGGACTGGGTACGGGAGCTGTGGGGCGGCAAATGGTGGGTTGCTACGCAGGCACCGCTCCCGCTGACCGCGCACACCTTCCTCTCCATGCTCGTCGAGGGCATCTCGCCCCCACCCTCCCCTAACGATCCCGCCTCCGCGACGGAGAATCGGAATCTGCGCAGCGAGCGGCGCATCCGCACAGTCGTGCAGCTCACACAGAACCTCGAGGGCGGCATGCGCAAGGCCCACATCTACTTCCCGCCCGTCGAGGGCCAGAGCTGGGTCATCGAGCCCGGCGAAGGGCGCGCGGACCCGATCGAGGTGACGCTCGTGCGTGCGCAGACCGTCGACGAGGCGCACTGCGTGCAGAGCGTCGTCCGCCTGCAGCTGCTCTCGCCCGAGCGCGCGCCCGTGGGCGACCCCGTGGTCTTCCAGCACCTGCTGTATGCGTCGTGGCCCGACAACGGCGTGCCTGCGCGCGAGGACCGCGAGGGCCTCCTGCGCTTCGCGAAGCTTGTGGACGACGCGAACCGCGACCTCTCGCTCTACACGGGCATCGCAGACCTGGATCCCAACCCGCCGATCGTGGCGAATTGCTCGGCGGGCGTGGGCCGCACGGGTGCATTCATCGCGTTGTGCTCGCTCTTGCGACACTATGGCTTCTTGTCGCCCCCTGGCACTGAGGGCAGTCAGGCGAAGATATCGCCCCTCCCTGAATCACCACTCGGCCCGTTGCCGGACGAGCTGAAGGATGATTTGATTGTTCAGGAGATTGACTCCCTAAGGGAGCAACGGCCGGGGATGGTCCAGCGGGACGATCAGGTCGTGATGATCTACGAGGCGCTCATTGCAGCGTTCGTTTCGGCGAGCTAAACGGACACAGATTGGACTGCACGAGTTCGCGATGATTTACTTGACTGACTACGAGAATTTGGAGGCCGTGCCATAAGGAAGCCTCAGCTCTCTACACGCCACCTTTTTGGAGGCTTACTCGCCTAGAGCTACGTCTCTGACGAACTCTATTGACGCATGTACTCACTAACGGATAGTATGTAGTTCGTAACCTCCAGTGCATATAGCGATATTACCTACGACATAAGCGATTCATTCTTGCCAGTTAGCACAAGTGTGTCACTGGAGTCAAGTCCGACTGCCGTCGGAGTCTTCGCACTCAACTGCAACTGTGGGCACAACGTTCTTGATGATCTGTCGATGGATGTCTGCTCCCTGAGCAAGGCGATGTTGCATGGGGTATATTGTGGTATGGCACGGCAACATCATGGGCTATATCATAGGTATGAAGGTACAAGGGGGACATTAACGGGGGGGCGTAAGGTATGAGAAGGCCGCAATCTGATGTTGGGAATGAAGGGTCGTAAAGTCGTAAGGTCGTGAAATAGTGATGCAGGCAGAAGACACCGAAACTCAAACTATTACGCCGAAGTAGCGCGAGCGAAGAGGGCACCCGAAGAAGAGACCGTGGAAGTAGAGTCTGAGGTGGGCTCGGAGGAAGCTGTCGTAGAACTGTCCCATGTTGCGGTCGTGGTGCTCGAGGAGTCCTCCGTGTAAGTCGTCGCCGGGCCGGTCCCTACAGAGACCTCGAACTTCCCGTCCACTGCCTTAACCCCAACGAACATCGGGGGAACGGCCCTAGGATTGATGAGGGAAGGAAGTTTGCCCGCTGCGTTGGGTATAGAAGGAGAAATAGGGGGGCTGATAGGTAGGTTAGGAGGAGTAACTGGAAGGGATGAGGGAAGAGAAGGAGGTGCGACGGGGAGGGAGGGAGGGGCGACGGGTGGGGAGATGGGTAGGCCGATGGGAAGGGAGATGGGTAGGCCGACGGGTAGCGACGGGTGGGTGCTGGGGGCTGTCTGCGAGCGCTGCATGGTCGACATCGCATCAGAGGCGGACGCCGAAGAGGCTTGGTCTGCCACGGCTTCCCACTCGGCAATGGTGCCGCGAGCTGCCAGATTCTCTACAGGCACAGCGGCGCGAGAGACGGTTTGCATCTGCTCGTGCGCATCGGAGATGGCCTGTGCGACCAAGCGCATCTGGTGGGCAGTCAACGGCTGCACCGATTCCGCCCCCGTAGCGCCCTTCTGCTGCAGTCCAAGTGCGGCCAATATCTTGTTCATGAGGGGGGTGAGGATGGGGCCCACAACCGGTAGTCCTTCCAACGTTGGAAGAAGAGATTCAAATTGTCTGCGGTCATGATGCAACTCAACGTGGGGCGCGTTTGCTCCTGATCATCGCGTGAGCACGCTGGATGTATAAAATGGCATTGCATACACACCGACATGATTCGTTCCGCCGAACGAAACATCTCCCACGTGCACATCAGCAGTTTCTGCGCGGCCCGCCATAACAATCGAGCGCATGCTCGAGGATGTCGACGAGACCATGGCGTGCTCGCCGGCATCTGGCTCGGTTGGGGCGGCAAGAGCGGCTGACGAGGACGACATTGCCAGCGCCGCCAGGAACAGCGAGGAGCTTGTCGTCGAGAGTCTCATGGTGAAAGAACAGATAGGCTGTGGATGTATGAAAGCAATACGAAAGCGCAAGAAGAGCAACCAGCGAGCGGTCTCGTGGAGAGATCGTGATGGTCAGAGAAGGAGAGCGGTGAGGAGCGAGAGACCGGAGGAGGTTTGCTTTTATTGAATTCTGGCGGGCTTCTGCGCGGCTGACGATCGAAAACCAACCTCGCGCGAGGAGAACAGCCATATTTGGCCGGGGCTGACAGTGATAGACACTCTCGGGACCGCATCGCCGATCGGTGGCCGTGGCCGTGACGAAAACCCCTTCGTGGCCTCGGACATTGCCGTCATGCTGGAAGGGCAAGTGTAAGCCATCGCATAACACATTAATTACAAGCAGGCGTGCAACGCTACTACCAGAAAGCCCGGTTACCGAACACAAGCGCCAGGAGGCGCGCGGAAGTAGGTGAGCGGTCACCGGTCGACTAACAACAACACGCCCATCAGTAGGTCCAGATGAGAAAAGCATGGTACACGTTCATGGCGATAGACGACAACCATGAAACTAGCGGGCCTAGATATGATAGCCCAGGGAGCAACATTTGATACTGCCTAGATCCGTAATCTATCAATAGTCTAAAATATCTATGTAAAGGTGCATCAGCAATACAGCAGGGGACACAAGGGAATGAGCTGTACCACATCCAGGAACGTCAGAAGACGCCTGTCCTTCCCCGTCCCCTGTGTTCCATCTCGAATAGCTCGTCATCCTCCCAATGGTCAGCATTCATGCGTTGCCTGACATGGTGCCCGCCGCCACCCGATCGCACCCCGAGAATAATCATGTTCCAGAGCTCGGACATGGCCGAGAGGATAGAGCGGCCCATGCATGAGGAGAGGATGCACCATGCCAAGAGCGCGAAGCTGTTTGAGGCAAAATGCTTGAGACACGATGCCGCGCCACAGATACAAACATAGCGGATCGTATTCACAGAAGAACAGAGAGAAAGACGGCCAAGGGAAAGAGACCAGAATCTTGAGAAACCATGGTCGTTGGTGTGGCCTGGCTGTACTCGAGTGGAGGAACACTAGGCGGTGGGGGGTGAGAAGAGGTTCAGCGGGCGCCACGTGCGACGGACTGATGGTCGAGGGAACGCCGGTATCAGATAAGATGAGAACGGCCTGCGGGTGAGAGACCACGCTGGTTCGCTGCGGCGTAGAGCTTCAACGACAGCGAATCATGGGACTGCAGGATACGAGAGACGAGGTGAAGTGGACCACGAAGAGGCACTTTCGTCGCACGGCCGAGGACATGCGCTGGGTGGTATCGTGTGCGGCGCCACCGGTTCAGAGTCCGCCCTCCAAGGACAGACTTGATGACGCTAGCACGGCATCTCTGCTTTTTGCTCCTTGCGCCCCAATCCCCCACTCTCGTCTCACCATCGATCCAGGTGGATAGTGTGCCGAGCACGTCAAACATCGGACGTAAGTAGGTGAGTTGCGGATTCCGCATGGTGCAGCGCCATGAGATCGCAGTGTGAGATGGCTTACTTACCGACACAGTGGAGACGCACCCAGAACAGAGGATCCCAGTGCCCGTCGCTGTCTGTACCGCTCCCTCGGATCCCTCCTACACAGCTCCTGACCACGAACACTCATATACTTATACGCCACACCGTCCACACTGTATCCTCTAGCCCAATGCAAGACACCAAGTCATCTCCTGACGACGCACAGATGGCGACGCCGCCGCGCACTAGGCGGTCCGCATCGACATCTACGGTGAGTAAGCGCCCGCTTCTTAGGGTTGACCACAGTGACGGAACCGCCTATAGCATACCGAGACAATGGTACCCGATCTTCTGCAACACCTCGACAATGTCGAGAGGGCATCTGTGCCCCAACCCGTCTCAGACCCCTTCAAGTTCCGCAGCGCATACAAGACGGATGAAGAACTGTCGGAATTGCGCAGGCGTAAGAAGGGCAAGTCCCTCGAAGACTACCATAAGCGGCAGAACAGTGTTTGTGGCGTCCTCGACATTACGCTTCGGACGTGTATCTGACGTTGCCCCGAAATAGCTCATCGAAGACCTCCTCAAGACCATGGAAGACCACACCAACGACGCAAGGGTCGAGGAGGAAGCCGCTCGTTTACCAGTACGCGGGGCGGTGTTAACTTCCTCGTCAATCCGCAGCACTCATCTCGCGTTATACAGGTCAAGATAGCCGTATGGGCAAGCCTCATTGCCAACCTCAGCCTCTGCGTACTCCAGAGTAAGCACAGCAGCTGCTCCTTTGGGAGCACTATTGACCCCGCGCAGTGTATGCGGCGATCTCGTCGCTGTCGTTGTCGCTTCTGGCGACCGGTATCGATTCGGTTTTCGATATCGGGAGCAACGTCCTGCTGTTCTGGCTCCATAAGAAAGCCGACGCCCTCGACATGAACAAGTGGCCCGTCGGTGGTGCTCGCCTTGAGACCATCGGGAACATCGTTTATGGTGAGCAGCGTCTCAAGCGCCCGTCCGCGTGTTCGTGCTGACCCACCTTTTTCACTTAGGCTTCTTGTACGTTGCTTGTGATGCTCTTGGCTGAACATACTAAGAACGTTTGAAGGATGGGATCTGTGAACTTGGTCGTCATCGTCGAGTCTGCGCGGACCCTCATCACACATAACGGAACCGACGACACCAACACCCTCCACGTCCCGTCTCTGATCGCCGTCGGAGCAGCGTTGGGTGAGCGAGTACTCGCCTTGAGCCCTCTCATTGGCTGACGAAGTTTGTAGGCGTGAAGTTTCTGCTATTCTTGTACTGCTTCGGGTACCGAAACTCGTCCAGTCAGGTCCGCATGCTGTGGGAGGACCACCGCAACGACCTGTTCATCAATGGCTTCGGTGAGTGCCTCGCACGGCAGAGGGAATGAGGAAGGGAGAGGACTCACAATGATGGGGGAACCACAGGTCTGCTCATGTCCGCGGGTGGGAGTAAGCTCAGGTGGTGTGAGTGCTGGTTTTTGCTGGTCCCATAAGGCAGACTCGGCTAATGCTTCCTCTGTCCAGACCTTGACCCGATGGGAGCCATCATCGTAGGTTTTCTAGATCAGATGAGCACGGTGTGCGTACCGAATCAGCCCTAATTTACTTGCGCGTCCTAGATCGCCGCCGGGGTCATTATTGCGTGGTCGCGCACTGTATACCGCCAATTCTGTTTGCTCGCCGGAAAGTCGGCGCCACACGACTTCATTCAGCTTCTTATCTACAAGACCATGACATTCAGTGACGAGATTGAGAAGGTTGATACTGTACGAGCATATCATGTGGGTTGTCCTTCTCGGCTCCCTCTGGCGGGCGTCGACAGGTTGCTGACGTCTACATCTTCCTTGAAACTTCCTCAGAGTGGACCTGATTATTACGTGGAAGTGGACGTGGTGATGGACGCGAACACGCCGCTCTGGAAGGCACACGACGTCAGTCAGAGTCTTCAGGACAAGATTGAGGTCCTGCCGAACGTGGGCCGTGCGTTCGTACATGTCGACCACGAGGCAACCCACACTCCCGTACGTGTTGTCTTCTTTTCGCTTGCCTTTTTTGCTTATATTGATTCTCTGGGATGTACCGCCGGTTCGCCGATGCGTAGGAACATCGCAAGTTCATGTAACTCACGGCTCGCGGATCCCGCAGCTCACGCGACATACCGATACTCTCGCAATGCTGTCAACATTCAACGACAAGGACACGACTAAGAGAGAAGAACTGTTCTAACAGAGACTATAGTGAAGATTCTGAAATTGCGAAATTACGATTATGATAATGAAATAGAGCGTACGATCTACTTGTGTTACGACAAACACTCACTGCTCTGCACTTTCGTCAGCGGCAGTCGGCCGGATGCAATGATCTCGGTGCGAGGGTGCCTTCCTCAATCTCATCAGCATGAGTCTGGAATGGAAGGAGACGTGCTTGACATTGAATGCGGGAGGAGAATTGAGGACCGTACTGATAATGGCCCAATCGCGCCGCAGCTGGGTTCCTGTGACAATCTCGCCTTCGTCGACCAGTTCTTCAAATAAGCGCTGTCGTCCGACACCGACTTAGCATACGGCATATTATGGCACATCCGTGGGTAAGCCCCGCCTCCCTTGTCGTGCTCATGAGAGACTTCGGGGTGCTGACGGCAATGGTAGCGCACATCAGCCCCCCATATTGTACGCGACGTTCTCGCGAAGCGCGGGCGAGGCGCTTCTCAGCTTCGAGCGGGGGCTCATGGTGACACTCCACCGGGCTCGTCGGATGTCTCGCTTCCAAACGCTTCAGCAGGCCCTTTCTATGCACAATCCCGCTGCTGCGGACAGAGAAGAAGACTGTCGATTGTCACCGAAACTCTGCATCTGCATCTTGACAACACATTCGCGACGGTTATCATATCCTCCGCGTTCTTCTCAAAACAGTCAGTCTTTGGGACTTTTCGGGGAATTGGCCGGAATCTACCTCACTGAGGACCAGGGGGTAAGGTTGCTCAGTAAGTTTGGTGAAGGTTATCGTTAATCCTGGACGCTTACCAGACGGCGATCAAGCTTAAGGGTTTCGGATCGCATGGCTAGCGCCCTCCAGACACTCCACATTCGTGCCGGCCAGTCAAAACCTTCTCGCTCTCGTCGCATATGGAGGCTTTTCGCCAGTCTGCCGGCACACGACTGAACAGTTCCACTACCTTGGGCAGGATCCACTCCAACGGAAACGGGCCTCGTATTCCGGATTGCTACTTGGTAACGTTTCCAGCCAGAGGGTACTCGGTACTCGGCTGCATAAGCATTCTGATCATGCTTCACGATGCATACAAGTTCTTGACTTGCGTCGCTTGAGTGGGGCATAGAGTTGGTGGATATATAGCCCGGGTCAAGCTCTGAAGGAAACCTTGGAGTTCAGCCATAACTTCTGTACAACTTCGATGCTCCCTCCCGCTCCCTCCTGCTCCAGCACTTCCAGCGAGCTTGCTACGAAGACATCACCCTCGCAAGCTCCTTCTCGATGGACGTTCCCTAGCGTGTCGACGGCTCTTCGTGCTGTCGGCACGCATTTGCTGAAGCACACAGGTGTCGGGATCGTGTGCGCTGTCGCGTACTTCGACCCGTAAGTCTTATCTCCTACGAACACCAGAATGGCATTCTCACCTGCCAATAGTGGAAACTGGGGTGTGGACCTGCAGGCAGGTTCACAATTCGGCTACAAGCTCCTTTTCGTTGTCCTTCTCGCCGGCCTCTTTGCTGTCTACATGCAGGTATGCTAGATTCCTCTGACGTCGACGACGAGTTACCTAAATGCATATCAGGTGCTCGCATCTCGGCTAGGGTGTGTGACTGGTCTAGGTGCGCGTAATTTTGTTTCCGGTCCGATTGGCGGCAAATTCATCTTACAAGCTTGACTCCGTCCCGCACAGACCTTGCCTCGCACTGCCGACTGCTTCTGCACGATCGTCCGCGCCACACTTTGCTATGGCGTTGGTGTGTACTGTACCCGCTCTATGCGCTCTCCGAGATCGCCATCATCAGTACGGACCTCGCAGAACTCCTCGGCTCTGCGATGGCGCTTGTCATGCTCTTCCCGAAGCTCGAGATCTGGGCCGGTGTGCTCATTACGACCGCCGACGTCCTTCTCCTGCTTGCGATGCGCAACCCGATCGGCGGGCAGCCCGTACGAGCGTTTGAATTGGGCATTGCCGCACTGGTGAGTGAAGCGCCGTCCATTTTGCCGAGTCTTGACTTCAGGCTGATCGTTACGTGAATCTGTTCTCAGGTCTTCATCGTCCTCATCTGCATGGCTGTCATTATCTCGAAGACGCAGATCAACTGGGGTGACGCTTTTGACGGTTTCCTCCCGTCGAAGACGGTCTTTCGGTCAGACGGTCTCTACACTTGTGCGCGCCTCTCACGGACATCGTGCTCTCGGATAGAATAACTGACGTTCCTACGAATTACAGCGATAGGAATAATCGGAGCGACTGTAATGCCTCACAGCCTATTCTTGGGCTCGGCTCTCGCCACTCAGGACCGGGTCCATTCATCGCCGGCGGAGAACTCCACACTGGGCACCGAAACGTCTGTCTCTGTGCGAAACGCTCGCACGATGGCCAAAAACTTCGTGAAGGCATTACGGATTACCTTTCAGGTCAAAAGGATCGAGGAGAGGCCAGACGAACCCAAGTCGCACGCTGACTGGACCAACCATCCACTTTCGTTCATCCGGCAGCACTTGTCCCATGGAATCGTCGACATGGTCATCAGCCTTCTAGGCCTCGCTGTGGTAATCAATGCTTTGTGAGTCCGACATTCGACCTCGACATGTCTCGTCCGCCTCCACCTGACCACGCAATCCCGGGTTGTAGGATCCTGATCCTGGCTGGTGCCGTGTTCTTCGTCAATGGCGGGGGGTCAACGGGTCCTGCTGATCTTTTCGACGCATACGACCTGATTCGTGATCGTCTCGGTGTTGGTGAGTATTGCATCCGCTTCATGTAGTCCCGGCAGTCGCTCACTGATGCTGGTGTATAGCTGCCGCAACTTTGTTTGCACTGGCGCTCCTAGCATCCGGCCAGAGCTCCTCAATTGTCGCAACTTTGGCTGCGCAAATTGTGTCCGAGGGCTTCATCCATTGGACCACATCTGTAAGTTCCCCGACTGGAATTGATTTATATGCGCGGCAGCTAATTGGTGCGATATTTCAGCCCGTCCTAACGCGCCTTCTCACCCGTTGCTTCGGGTTGATTCCGTCCTTGGTGGTCGCCGTTGCTGTGGGTCGCCCCGGCATCGCGACGCTGCTCGTCGCGTCTCAGGTTGTGCTATCGATCGTGCTGCCCTTCGTGACTCTCCCCCTGATCTTGCTCACGTCGTCAAAGCGAGTCATGACGGTCTACGACAATGCGGAGTGCACCTCAACTTCAAGCGCGTCATCAGAAGAACTTTCCGACGATACGCATAAGGAGAGTAAGACGGAGGATCTTGTGGTGGAGACTATTACCGAGACCGTTCAGGATCTCGAGCGTGGTTCGGCAAAGGGCGTTGACTTCTCGAACGGGAAAATCACGATAGCCATCGGAGCGGTGATTTGGGTCATTATCGTTGCGGCGAACGTGTACGCCATCGTCGGTCTCGCCATGGGCCAAGAGTAGCCAAAAGCAGTAGCGCGCTGGTCGTGTGTGCCAAGGACATTTAGAAACGTCGCTCGTTCGTATCGCAGAAGTTCTCTCATTGATGTATTACTATACGGTTCATCTTCCCGGCTTTCTTGCCTCGTTCTACCGCATCGCCCTTGTATCATTTCTATATGGTCTGTCGCCTCCGTGTAACAAATTCATGAAACCTGGCAGTCATCTGATGCAGTCGTGTGCCGTACCTAACGAAATCCGAAGCAAGCCCTGGGAGCGACGCTTTCGATATAGAGCAAGAAGTTCACCTCAAGCGCGGTTCGTCCCCGAAACGTCAGTAGCCAGCCGTCGCATCGAAAGCCTCGGGGACGCCGGCGGTATGCGACGTCTAAACGCAATCGCCAGCGAATGGAGCAGAGAAGAGGCAACCCGTGTGGTAGGCGATCATATGCGACGAGAAACGTTATAAGAACCCCAGTCTCAACGAGGACTGTCAAGCGCGTGATGATGAAGCGTTGAACTCGGCAGCTGTGTACGTTAGTTCTGGGCAGAGGTATATGTCTTGCAGACATTTCGAGAAAGGTAGCGGAGTCTTGCGCTTGGTTGAAATCCCGTCGACTCAATAGCGGATGGGGAAAGTCTTGAGTCGCACGTCAAGTATCAACGGAGAAGATCCAGAGAAAGAACGTCCGCCGGCACATGCATCCTGTAACCGATGGACGTAAGCGAAGCATTACGAAAGGGCTGCGGTGTGCTCACAATGGGCTACCCGAGACTTCGCGGGGAGTCTGGGGCATCGACAGGTCGGTTATCGGAGATGTCTCCGACGATGCGGTCGCATAGGATGTGTGTTCAGGGTCTCCAGTCGAGAGGTAACCTGCCCAGTCCACGGGGTTGGAGAGTTCTCCGTTTGATATCCGCTGTTGGGGTACCCAGAGCGTGGCATAAAGACAAAGACACCTATTTGTGTTGCCTCAGCTCGGCTCCCTACCTCTCAACCTAGACACTGTCTTCTCTCATCGTAGTGCTTGAGCTCAGTGCTGTGGTGAGGGTCGTTGTCGTCGTCGTTGAAGGCGGCGCCGCTCATTGTCCTCACGGCCTTCCTATTTGGGTAACCCGAGACAGTGGATCACAGATTTGGAGGTGGGTCGAAGGCTACCGCTCGCCTGGTCCCACGTTGTCCTCGTCCACCACGACTCCCTTTCTGACTCCCCACGCTGTTTTTGGACGGGTACTGACAATATGGCTGCAGAACATGAGCGGCGTAGACTTCAATCAGGACGACCTCGACTACCTCGCGTCGCGTTCAGGTCCTTCGACCCCCGGTCGTCCAAGTTCCTCGGTAAGCTCGGAGCTGCAGGTCATGGGCGTCAGCAGGAGATCTCATCTGGGAACAGAGCTCTGGCACCGATGGCAAAGGCAGAGACGTAGAACGGGGTTCGCGCTCGACCGTACCCAGCGAACATGCCGATCCCTACTCGTTACGTGACGGATACAAGACGCCTGAAGACCTTGGCACCCTCAAGAAGGCTAGGTCAGGTCGAGCAGTTAGCAAGTTCTACGAGAAGCAGAATGATGTGCGCGGTTATTAATATCTATTCCTCGCCATTTGAGTTGACGTTGTGTTCTCATGCGTTACAGCTCATCGCATCTCTCCTCAAGCCGATGGAGGAACACACGGAAGACGCGAAGCAGGAGCAAGGCTCTTCGCAAGCACAGGTAAGCTGTGCGCGTTCTAAAGCCTTCTGCATTCGCCTTACCGTTGCCCAGGTTCGAATCGCTATCTGGGCGAGTCTGCTTGCCAACATCTTCCTTTGCGTTCTGCAAAGTACGAGAATCCTTCTCTTCTCAGACGGCATCTGACGTGATAACGTCTTACAGTGTACGCTGCCATCGCTTCCGAATCTTTGTCTCTTCTCTCCACCGGTATCGATGCCGTCTTCGACATGAGTAGCAACATGTTGCTATTCTGGCTTCACCACAAGGCCGCTCACATGGATAAGAACAAGTGGCCTGTGGGCGGCGCCCGCCTCGAGACGATTGGTAACATTCTCTACGGTCAGTGGTGGTTGGTTCCACAGTACTGGTTATGCTCGCGTGCTCAACGTCTCTTAATGCGCAGGTTTTCTGTACGTAATCCACTTTCGGAGCCGTCATGCTATCCCCGCTGATATTATTACAGCATGGGTTCCGTGAACATTGTCGTCTTCATTGAATCCGCGCGTAGCATTATTGCCCGTGAAAGCGACGAAGACACGAATGTGCTTCATCTCGCGTCGCTCATCGAGGTGTCCGCAGCGTGGGGTACGCCAAGCCTATCGTGCTCGTATTTCTCTTGACTTGATTGACCCTTTGGCGTGTCTGTAGGCGTCAAGCTTCTCCTTTTCTTGTACTGCTATTCCCTGCGCAAGCAATCTAGCCAAGTTCAAGTCTTGTGGGAGGACCACAGGAATGACTTGTGGATCAATGGTTTCGGTATGGGTCCCTGTTGGTGTACTTGTTTAGCGGGCCTCACGCATACATGCAGGTGTCATCATGTCCGCGGGCGGTAGCAAGATCATTTGGTGTACGCCTGGCTGCCTCCCACATCCGTGTTATTTGCTATTTGCTAACTTTTTGAATGATAGATCTTGACCCCCTCGGTGCCATGCTCGTACGCATTACCCTTAGCACGGTCCCGGGCGAGATCTATTAACGCACTCCCAGATTGCCCTCTTTGTCATTATCTCTTGGGGAAGCACTATTTATGAGCAATTTGAACTCCTCGCCGGGAAATCCGCCCCGCATGAGTTCATCCAGCTCATCATCTACAAGGCCGTGACCTTCAGCGACGAGATCGAGAAAATTGATACCGTGCGAGCCTACCACGTGAGTTTCCCTCTGTCCTTCGTCGTCTGTGCCAACTGACTCAATGGCCTTGACGTTTCCTCCTGTCACTATTCGCTGCGTCCTCCATGCAGAGCGGACCTGTACGTAACCTACTTTCACACGTGCTGTATTGAACCGTCGCCTGACTGGCTACTTCGGGATAGGACTACTTCGTTGAGCTGGACGTCGTCATGAGCGCGGACACGCCCCTGTGGAAGGCGCACGACGTTGCTGAGAAACTGCAGGACAAGATAGAAGCGCTCCCAGGCGTTGAGCGTGCCTTCGTGCACGTCGATCATGAGACGTCCCACGCGCCTGTGCGTATATCCTCGCCCTCCGCGGCTGCGAGCTCTGTTCGCTAACATTTTCCCCCCCCATTGCAGGAGCATGGCAAATATCGCGATTAGCATTGCATCGTGCGGTCTTCCGAGAACATGATACCATCCCCATCTCACGCAGGGGCAAAGATTGACAGATGATATTCTCAGTTTCCTGGTAGATATCTTATTAAGGGCTCCATAGCCATATGCATTTCTCAGGCAATTACTCTGTCGGAGAGACAGGGTTGTACTTGTATTAGTCGAGATCCGTGGACTCTGCCTCCCCAAACTTCCATTTTTGCACCCTCTTCACTCCTGTGTCGAACTCTTCCAACAAATCCATGGGTTTTGATGTGCTTAGTGCTGGCTGCTTACCCCGCCCGTCACGGTTTGCGTGGCTGGAAAGGAGAGATGCTGTGCTCCCATGGGATGACGAAGCATCAGGGTACGGAGGGGCTACACCGCCCAAAGCCATGGCAGAGGACGATATCTCTGGGTCGGCATGTAAGAGGGATGGCGGCATGATAATTGGGCTGTAGGCAAGTGCGCCGCCATATAAATTTCCCCCGGTATATGTCAAGTACTTGCGGATATTCGGCTGCGTCTTCGCCCACTCTTGTATGCTGAAGGCGATACACTTACGTGAATGGGACACCTCGCAGCGACACAGGGAAGGTGGGCGTACCATTTCCTGATAGTATCGTATCGGGTAGAGAAGTGCGACGCAATCACCTCCTATCCATCATACCGTCGCATGAGCCCAGCCTCGCGCATGACGCAAGAAGCTGCGACTTACAGCCCATATACCGTGTTTATGCTCGTCCTTCACCCAGTCGACGATGGCCCAACGCGTGGTGTGCATGCAGATATTCTTGTTATACTCTATGCTCGCCTGGTTGCTGGGATTCGCCTTCCCAAATCCCGGCCTGAACATGCACGATGTCAGCCAACGCACACCCTGAACACCCGTCACGTGCCCCGAGATACTCACTCATTGAAGTATGGCAGGTCGATCAAGATCATGCTTTGGATCGGACACGAGCACCTGCAGCAGCGTCGATTTTGGCGACCACTGCTCCTCCGGCCTTCATAATCCCCGCCGGGCGATTCGATGCCGGTGGCGGGTATCGGACCAACGTCAACCACAGCCACGATCCACGATCCGCGCGACACAGCATGAAACAGCAGCGCAAATCAGCCCAGTCGCCCAAGGGTGCAGAGATCCGCGGAATGGCACGCACCGGCCAGGCCATGTCCCGAGGAGGGACAGGCACACCTTGCCGGAGTTGTACAGGTTCGGGTTGAAGCGCACTGAGCCGCCGCCGGTCGTGCGGAGGTGCATCAGCGGGGGCTTGTGCGGGTACTCGAGTGGGATGAAGCAGTCAAACTCGAAAAGGCCCCCCGCGTACGGCGTCCCTGCGGGTCCGGCTATCACAACTTTGCTGTGAAGCGGAGGTCGATACAGATAAAGTCAATCGGTCTGTTGGGATCGAGAGAAGACGAGGTGGACAGATATGACCATAAACGGGTGGCATTCCAAAGGACAGAGGAGAAGGAGCAAAGGAAGGCTAATGGGCTTCGGATCAAAGCGAGTACTTACATTGCGTCGTTCCGGACCTCGTCCACACGGACCCACACGCCGGGGGGCAGGCTCGTCGCCATCACCGCGAGCTCCTTGACGAGGTGCAAGCGGTCCTTCGGGTTCCTTGTGGCGTTCGCGGTCTTTTGCAGCTCCGGTGCGTAATTGTACGCCCCCTCAGAGAGTGCGACGTACTTGAACGCAAGCCGCTCGCACTCGGCTGCGTACTTGCGTTCGAGGTCGATGGAGGAGTCGCGCGCCTTGCCCTTGTCTTTCGACGTACCGGCCTGCCTTTTGCTGCTGCTAGAATACGAGGGTCCAGAAGGAGCCTCCGATGCACTAGGGACTTCGCTGGGCTCTAGTCCATGGAGGGCCGATGGGGGATTCTTGCCCATTACGGCCATAGCTCGTTCGATGTCGTCCCTTGCCGCGATGATGTCGCCGCACAGCAAAGTGGCCATCACAGCTGTCTCCGCGACGTCGCTATCCTCTTCGGCTCCTGCGGACTCCAGCATGCTCGACGCCCCAGCGAGGAACGCCTCGCATTGCCGCGTGAGCTTCTTGAAGTGCACGTAGAGCGGCGGTGCGCGGACATATGCGCCCGTGTCCGTGTTGCGCTCCCAAACGATGCTGTCTTCGTCCCACATCCAGTCTTCAAGCCCACAGCTCTTGGACATCTCCCACCGCTCGCCGACGAGCACCTGTTATGCACTCCTTTTAGAGGGCAGTTGACTGCAAATATAGAATTCGAAGGGTACTTCTAGAGTGAGCTCACAGTCCGCCATCCGTCTCAGCAGGCGGAGCATAGCATGATAAATGTCTATGCGCGTGATCCAGTCCGTCACCGAGTCGTTCCGGAGCAAATACCCCAACAAGGCCGGTAGCTGCGATAGCGCAAGCAGCCCTCCGACCGCCTGGTGGGGTAGAAGGTCGTATATTTGCGGGTCTTCCGCATACGGGGCGGGGAGGAACCCTGTGATAGTGTTGAGTGCGCGCACGATGATCTCATCGAATGATTGCACCAGGGCGAGTGCGGGTTCCCCGCTCGACTTCGACGCGGCAGGGGAGCGTCCGCCGCGCCTGACGCGCTTCGCTGTCGCAATATGTGGGTACTGGTGTCCGTATGACGGGTCCGTGCCGTATCCCGTGCCCCCGGGGCCGACGCTGCCCATCTGAGCCTTCTTGGCTCGAGCAGCTATCTCGCGCGCCCGCTGGTCGGAAGTCTCGCGCTCCACTAGGTACAACCTGTCGAAGCCTCCAAGGGCTTCGAATAAGGCTAGAACGCGCACGTTGGTGCAACACGTCTGGACGGCGCATTCCGGGCTATCACCTTTGCAGGTGGGAGCGCAGGAGAGGGGTGCCATGCACCCGCGGCAGTGGGTTATCTTACAGGACTTGCACGGGGCGTGCAGGAGGCGGAGGAGGCTCGGGGGTGCCATTATGTGCTGAGAAAATGTAACCTAGAAGCGTGGTCAGATGATTTGGAAGATGTGTGAGCTGCAGCAAATAAGCTCATTTACATGCCCGCGAGGGGAGGGAAGCGTCGACCGACACGACGAGCAGGTCTTTTCGCCTGTGAAAAAGTCTCTGCATTGCTCAAGCTGTGCGACGGCCGGTAGCTTTTCGTTGGTGATAGTGGCGTCGTCCTTGTCGTCGATCGTTGTCAAATCACATTGAGAGCCCTCCGGGGAGTTGACCCGCACGCGCTGTGCTTTGTGTTTGATCCGCCGAACGGACGACGCAGACGTCGGGGGCGGGCGCGGGAGATCATTGAATCGGACAGAGTCCTCGATCTCCCACTCTTTGGCAAGGCGACGCGCCATGGATTCGTCGTCTTCAGGAACCGGGACGCGTTCGTCATGGCAAGAGTCGCCATATGAGGCGTCTATGACATCTGCGTGATCAGGGGATAAAGGAGAGCGCTCCGTACTGCTGTTGGGATCGCGGCTCGAGCTCGAACGCGGACGAGAGGAGGATGGTCCAGAGGTGTCCATGTCAATACTACCGCCGTTCCATTCATCCTGAAGGTTTCGGGCGAGAGCCTCGCTCTCCTCGTGAGCTTTGATCAGCGCGAGAATAGCCTCGAGCGAGTCTTCGTCTTCATCGTTGAGGGCGGTCGGGGCGGTGGCAAGTCTCTTTGTGCGTTTTGGTGGAGAGTCGTGTGACAGGCGGCGCTTTTGCCCTGGCATGGTGTGCGTATTCGACTGATGTGCGCATAGGGATGCTCGATTGAGGGACCACACCACACAGTGGGATGAATGGGGACAAAGAGCAAAGATTCGCGGTGGACCGGAGGAGAGATGCGGCTCTCGAGTTTCGACGTAGAGCGAGCGCCTGGTGGGCGTCTGCTCGGGATGTGCGGCGCGGGGCGAGGAGGCCAGAAAAGGGATTGACGCGGCTGGGTGAGGGCCCGGCCAAAGCCAAACCTCGCCTCCGTCCGTCTCTCCTCCTCCGCCCCGTCCCCGCTGCCTTCTTGTTTATTCGCCCAGTTGCTCCTCGCGCTATCTCTTACGCTGTCTAACGTGTGCTATATCTTCCATCGTCCGCTTTTCCACCTCCTTGCCACGCTCACGCACCCTACGTCCCTCACGATCTCATCCACGACCACTTAAGTCCACACACCACTCTCTTGCGCGATGGTAAGCCTCTTGCATCCTCTGACGTTTGCGATGGTTCCCCGATCCCCGCGGTCTCTCATGGTGCTCCCACAGGATAATCACCACCAGGACCCGGAGGAATTCTACGTGAAGCAGGACAGAATCGGTGCGCAGATCCCCCGCTATCCTCGCAAGATGGCCAGACTAACTCCGGCTGATCGCATATAGGCAAGGGCTCGTTTGGAGAGGTCTACAAGGGGTACGTGCTCATATATCACTCTTGGATCGCCGGCTAACGCACACCTCGCTCCCTAGCTACGACAAGCGCACCCAAAAGACGGTGGCCATTAAGATCATCGATCTCGAGAGTGCAGAAGACGAAATCGAGGATATCCAACAGGAAATCCAGATCCTCTCTCAGCTCGATTCCCCCCATGTGACCAAATACCACGGCTCCTACCTCAAGGGCTCGCACCTATGGATCGTCATGGAGTACGTCCCCCCTCGCAAGTCCGTCGTAGCGTGACTCACAATCGGTCTACCAGATACTGCTCAGGCGGGTCATGCTCTGACTTGGTATGACATCACTCACCCACCGCCTCGCCCTGCCCTTCTATTGCTGACCGAGGTCTTACGTCCTAGATGAAACCGGGCGTATTCCGTGAAGAGTACATCGCCATCATCGTCCGAGAGCTCCTGAAAGGCCTCGAATACCTGCACACGGAAGGGAAGCTGCATCGAGATATCAAAGGTACGTCATCGCACCCTGCTGCGCCGAAATGCAACAGGCACACTAGCACATCGGAACCGGCACGTACTGACCCGTGATTTCCCGCCTTTCGTGTTTCTTTCCCGCTTCCTATATCTGCGACTAGCGGCCAACATTTTGCTGTCAGCCAATGGAGAGGTCAAGTTAGCCGACTTTGGTGTATCCGGGCAGCTGTCTGGCACACTGTCCGCGAAGAAGAACACGTTTGTCGGCACACCGTACTGGATGTCCCCAGAGGTCATCAAGCAGAGCGGGTACGACCACAAGGCGGATATATGGAGCCTAGGCATTACGGCGATAGAGCTCGCCAAGGGCGAGCCGCCGTATGCGGAGCTCCACCCCATGAAGGTTTGCACTTACCGATGACTATGTCTATGTCTGCACCGAGTCTGATGGGCTATTGCGACGTTCGGTGTAGGTGCTCTTCCTGATCCCGAAGAACCCACCACCAACCCTCGAGGGACCGTTCTCCAAGTCCTTCCGCGAGTTCGTTTCGTGCTGTCTGCAGCGTGACCCTAAGGATGTAAGCTTCTTTCATTCTCTGAAATCGTGCCCGAAGTCTTCATTAGTGCCTTCGACTCCTTGTTCCCATGCTAACGACGCCCCTATCAGCGACCATCCGCGCGAGAACTGCTCAAGCATAAGTTCATCCGCATGGCGAAGAAGACCAACTACCTCACCGAGCTCATCGAGCGTCACGAACGCTGGAGGGCAGAGGGCGGCGACAGGATCGAGGAGGAAGAACGGAACCACGTCGAGGAGCTGTGAGTTCCGTCCAGTATCCCTATCTGTCCTTGTACCCCTGTCCTACACAACCATGTCCCCTTCGCGACCACGCAACGTCCCACGCTATCCCCGTCCTCCCCACTATCACTCTTACTCACCAAGGAAAGTAATATCATGCTGACTGTATGCTGTGCTCCCTCGTACCTACAGGAACGGAGGCTCCGACCCTGAGGACCTCTGGGACTTCGGCACTGTCCGCCACGCAGGAACCGTCGGTCGTGCCGCGCCCAACCCGGTACAGGTCTCCGGTCCACCCTTGACATGGGAGAACAACGGTACGACGCGCACCGGCGGCTCGGACGACTCTTCGCACTCCGGGGGTTCGTCGTACTCCGGGAGCGGGAGACGGGGACCATCGGACTCGTCGGTCGCGACGACGGTGAACGCCAAGGGTGACTTGCCGCCCATCCCGGGACCAGGGCCGGCGGCGGGACCGCCGACCCCGTCGAAGAGGTCGGGGAGCTACAATAACGACCAGGCAACGATTCGACACGGCAACAGCAGCAACAATGTGGGGCTCGGGGCCCCTCGGACCTCGAGGAGGGAGCCGAGCGACGAGGACGATTACGAGGGCGCGTATGCAGTGAGAAACCACATCGGCGGGGACGTGGACGACGACTTGCCGGACACGACGATGCTCGATTCGGTCGTGTTGCCTGCGATCGCCTCGGTGAGTCCAGCTTTGCGTCTGCGGTGGAGTTGCGTTTAGGATTGCCGCTGACCACGCGGCGTTCTCTCCGGTGTTTGTCTTTCTGTGCCTGTCGGCTCATTCACTCCACTCAACCCCCGCCGGCCTACTACGCAGCTGTTCCCGCGGGTCTCGACGCAGGAGGCACGCGTTGCGCTGAGTGCGCTCCAACGCGCGTTCACGGACGCGGAGCGCATCATACCCGGTGTCACCCTAGAGCTTATCAACGAGATTGTCGATTCGGTCGAGCGGGTGGACGACTCATGAGCGCGCACCCACACCCCGGCATTCAACAAGCGAGCTTTTGCTGTTAGCGCGCGCAGCTTGTTGCGTCTAGCTCCGTCCTGCCCGTCCCAGCCGACCGCGTTAGGCGTGCTGGTTGTACGTACGTGCAGCCGTACTATAGCCATGTTCTGCCCACTCCACACCTTCCCTCATAAACTCGTGGACGATACATCTGACGTTCGTCTCCTCTCTATCACCTGTATAGTCTCCGTCTCTATCCCCATTTGTTCTCCATCTCGTGCATTCCAGACCCCGATTCACCCACTGTCCACTACACATACCTATCCATGCATCGCTAATTGTGCCACTGCATGCATCCCGGTGTTTCTCTGTCATTCCCCTACCACCTCCCTATCTTGGTCCCCCTCCGGTCTTCTTCATCTCTCTGGCAATCCAGTACTACCGCCAAGCCCCCGATGTATACCATAGTGTCTCTCCGCAGCATACCAGTTAATGCAAACAAAGCAAACAACCGTGTATTCCCACTACAGCTTACAGACTCGGACAATGATATGGTTAGACTGACTAGACTGCTTCCACTCGCCTTCCACTCGCGCCCGAGCCCTGAAACGGACAATGACAGTCCACATCACGTTAGACTCATGTCCTGCGCAGCGCACCCGCCCTTCGACAAAGAGGCTAGCGCAACCAATGCAAATCACTGCGCGAGCGACTCCGACTCCGACGGCTTGGCCGCTATCCGTTTCTTGGCCTTCTTTTCCTTCCCGCCGCCGCCACTCCCTGTCGTCCCCTTCTTCTTGACCTTTGTCACTTTGATCGCCTCGGGTGTTCTGGGCCGGGGCTCGTCCGCGTCCAAGTCGTAAGCCGGAAAGCGTGACGGCAGGGGAACGGCCACACTTGCCCCAAGGGGGGGAGTTGCCGATCGTGACGTACTCCCGTTCCCATACATCCCATACGAGGGCGAAGGAGAGCCTACCCTCACTCCAGGGCGCTGAGGCTGTGGGGACACAGGGGTTGACGCAGTGCGCACTGCGCCCTCGGGCATCTCACCCGTTTTGTCGATGACGAACGTCTGTGCGGGCGGTGCAGGGGAGCTTCGCAAGCTGGGTAGGCGCGCTGTTGGTGCTATAGCTATACAGATAGGACGTTCGAGAGATCCGGTCAATTTCGGAGAGTGTGCGTGTGTATGCATGTGTGTAGCGCCGAGACCATAAGACCGTCGGACGATAGGGGGGTCGCATGGATGGGACGAGCGAGGAGAGTGGAGTGGGGATAGGGTGTAGGGATGTGTGGCGAAATCGGTGCGCACGATGTCGTAAAGCCGTGAGTGCTAGGCTGCGGGGGGACCATGTGCGGAAGCGGTGCGTACCTGTGGACAGTGGCGGCAGGTCGTCTAGCTTGACCACCGGTATAGACTCCACGTCGGCGGCGCCAAACTTTGTCAAAGGAGGACGGTCGTCCATCAGGTAGTAGGGGTCGTCCCGCAGCCGTTCCAGCCGCTCGGCCTTCCGCTACGTCGCACAATAGGGAACACCAGCCCAAACCAAGATCATCTGTCAGTCATTCAAAGACAGAACACAAACAGAGCGGGAAGAGAGGGCGCCCAGTGGGTAGCCATCGTTGTGTCATCCTCGTAGCCGACACGAAGACAATAGGAAATGGCAAGGCCAAGATGAATGAACAGCACTCACGCGCTCGCGCTCAGCCCGCTCCTTCTCAGTCTCGACCAATTGGACTACCACGTCGTGTCCGTTCCCATCGACCGCCTGATCCTCTTCGTCATCCGCGCCACCACTCGCCCGCGCCTTCCCCTTGCGCTTCGACTTCCCTGCGCCTTTCTCACCCTCCTTTCGCTTACCTTTCTTACCCTTCTTCCCCTCGAGCGCCTCGTCCGTGGCATCCCCAGCCAGGGGGGTGGGGTCTTCCTTGAAAGGCACGATCCATGCTTCCAGATCCAAACCTTCGGGAATCGGCAAGCTCGCCTGGGCCGAGAGCGCGACCGCGTTGAGTTCGTACGCACCGAAGAGCGGTCTGATGAGGTATAGGCTCTTCGGAAAGTGGGGCTCCGATGCCGGAGATGTAGACGCAGACGCGGTCGACGAGGGCTCGCCGAAGCCTTCCGCGCCTGGGCTCATGCTCGACTCGCCATACTTGCTAGTATTGCGCGGCTGCGGCTTGTATGCGCTCAGATCTGCGCGGATGAACGTGAAGAGTTGGAGCAGCTCAGCGGCCTGGAAGTATCAACGTGAGCACGCGATCGTGGGGCGAACGTCAAGACAACGGCATGTGTTACGGAAATGAAACAGTCCGGGAAGCACGCACCCGTTCCTGCACCTCGATGTCGGTGTGCGTCACAATGCTTGAGAGGCGCCCCACGACGTCGTCGACGACTCCACGGACTCTGGGCAAGTCATCGTCGTCCCAGCGATCGGCGAGTTCTGTCGCCCATGAACCGAAAACCTTCATCGCCGCATGCAGATAGACGGCGACGATGTCCGAAGGCAACGACAAGATGCGAGGCTGCAAGAGGGATGACAGAAGCTTGTGTGGCTCCGCAAGTTCGCTGAAAATGCCACGCCTATTGTTGAACAGAGACGCGCTACCAAACACGTTGTCGCCACCTACCTGCAATACTCGCCGCAGATCCACGCCGCCGCCCAGAGCACCTCTGGGCACCCGCCGTCGTCGGAGGCATTGTGTAAGAACGAATCATCGCCGAGGAGCTTTGCCATGACTTGAACAGCATATCGGCGCGCTGCACGCACTCGACCGGTGATATCGACGAGCTGTTCACGAATCTCGGCACCGATGCTCACACGTGCGACATAAGCGAGATCAACGAGAACGGAGATGTACCACTCAAAGTCTGTGACGTTGTCGTACAAGTCCTGTGAGCCGAGCGATAAGATCCGTTGGGCTAGCGTCAGACGATAGGCCGGAGATTGAGAGGGAAGTCCGCCAAGTCGAGCCGCTGGAATGTCTTGAGATGGCCCGAACTGAGAGAGCGCCTCCGAGGCGGACGGAAGGGCCACAGATTCCGTTTTGACCAGATGGGATAAGAGGTGCTGCACGATGGGCTGCAAATTGTGTCGGCTGACCTAACAAGAACTCGTGTTAGTCCACCTTGTATGTCGTTGTCAAGCGCGAACAGAAATTTTCAGACCATAGCAGAGACTAAGTCCAAGGCTCGCATCCTGATACTGATGTCTTCGTCGTTGACACTGGACAAGATCATATCCTGATATTCTGCTACAAGCTCCGGGTGGGTGGGAACGATCTTAACCATTGCGAGCAAAGCGATGTACTTCACTGCAGAGGTCGTCGGTCAACTCGGCGGCGTGCTTGAAGGAACTCACTCAGGCTCACAGTTTTGATCGGCATCCTGCAAGAATCCAGCCAACTTCGTGACACATGTTTGGGCAAGCGCGTTCCCTGCAAGACCCAGGAGCATGCCACCTATGATGCATGTACGCACACATTCATATAGGAGAGATATTGCTGACGTCGTGGAGATAAGATCAGTTATCGGTGGTTGTAGTTTCTTCACCAGCCGGGGCTCATACGGCGTTAGAGTCCCAAACTAGAGAGAGCATTAGACAAAAATACCTCCCACAGGAATGTAGCGCGCCTCACAAGTTTGATGATTTTGATCAACATCCAATTGTTTGAAGAGGTAGTCAAAAGATGAAATAACTGCGGTGCCAGTGGAAGGTAGTCTCTAGGACTTTGGGGGGCTAACTCGCACAAAACGTTTACCGTCGCCGCTACAACGCCTGCAGTACAGCTATGAGTATAGAGTGTGTCCAAGTCAAATCCGAGAAAACATACCGGGATCGGGATCATCTAACTTGTCTCGGAGCCTGCTCATGCTGGAAGGGAGGACGTCCGGGTATTTAGTGACAACCTTGTACATAGCTAGGACCGCTCGTTTCCGTATATGTGGGCGCGAATGGTTGAGCATAGCGACAAGTTCCGGGGATAGGTCCCGAGCCAATTCGGATGTCACGATGTGCGATAGCCCATTTAATGCGATGGCTACCTCTTCTGGTCTTGAGCCTAAGTCCTGAAGGCAAAGTTATTCGACTCAAAACGAGACCCTCATATCGACGCATCATACCTTCTTGAGCAAGTTTGTAGTGAGCATCAGAACGTCCGTATCCTGCTGGAAAGACTGTGCTGCTGCCAAATACCCGATAGTCTTGAGGTGTATTCGTGGAGCCGACATAACCTCAACGACATGGAAGGACGCCCAACTCATGTCATACCCAAGCATGTGCAACTTGCGTAAGGCAGCTCGGATCATGAGACGAAGGCGACACGAAACAACGGTGACACGTACGTATGTGAGCTTCAGTATAGCAGCAGCCTTGATCTCCATGTCTTTGCTTCTGGTTTCCGTCCGGATCTCGTCCACAGCTTGAGCGATGAACTTGCTTTCATCCTTCTTGTTGGCGCGCAGACCGCGAATAAGATCCTGGAGTGTACGTTCCCACATACTATGGCAAGAGACCCTGTTTCAGCACTTCAAGATGAGGTGCAAGAAACTGAGTGTCCAGAAGCGTCTGCTACTGTCAGAGAGCGTGTTTGGCCAGAGTTGGGATGGTAGATCGAGACAAGCTCAAGATTCAGAAGCACGAGATAGCCACCGACAATAGATGCCAGTGCGAGCAGCGAGGCAAGCTGAGGACGTACGAATTCTGTCGCAAGTACTAGTCAGAACACAGAGAGCAAGACAAGTACTTGCATGCGGGCAGAGGGAGCACCAGAGTGGCTCGCAGCTCGCTGCACACCATGACTGTATGCCGGCTCAATATGGCAACTGTTTCCCACCCGCAGACATACTGTGTCTCGTCAAAATTGCATGTATCCAACGTGTCGTTCATTCTCTCCTGGCTTGCGTCTCGACATATGACAGCCGAATTGTCTTCTACAGCCCCGCAGAAGTGACGTTTTCCTTCCGTTCTTCCGAGACATGTCCCGACAGATGTATGCATGTGTGCTAATGTCGGCTACTACGCTAGCAAACAGTTCTACCTGCGATAAGCATCTGGGACGTTTGCGCATCGCCAGATCAGGGTTCGCGTCCTTCCAATTGATACCGAACATATTGCAGGGCAGTTTTCCATGAAGCCTCGTCTTTTTGGAGTAATCTTCGCGCGAAGTCCTTGGTCGAAATATTTACCGCCCGTTCTTCCACTTCCTCCAGGATGCTTTCCGGGTCCCATGACGGCTTGCCCGAAGACTGCTGACGGCTTCCGACGATCGTCCCCGGGCATTTTCGTCCAATGACTGTAGGACGCCTTACTGCGCTGACATCGGCAGGTACACCCATCTCGTCTGACGCGATCACCTGTCACCGACCCGAATACTTGTCAGCGTATCTTGGCACGAATGAAGCACACGCTGAGCATTGCTCCATGCGGGCCTTTGGGCACACGCTGCTCGGGAGCATAACGGCAAGCAAGAATCCCGGAGGGTAACTCAAGGTTCATGTGGCCACGATGCGGAGCCAGCCACGGCTACTCAGCCGCAACGCTTGGTGTCAAGCCAACTAGTCCTCCGACATATCCACTAACACTGATGCCAGGTTCAAGTCTCCCGCATTCGGACGACTCGACTGCGCCATACTATCTGAAGCTAGACTTCATACCAAGCGGCCATCATTCGTGGCATGCCTGGAAGCTTGGTAAATGAAATACTCCTGCTGGAGTGATTTGTTCTTACGAGGTACAGACAACGACGTCATCGGAAGCATTTGACATGAGCTAGCGGCGAGGTAGAGCAGCTTGAAATTGAAGTGAAAGGTTAGCTCACTCAAGCAACCGCAGACTGAAGTCCGATTCGTTGATTGTGAGGAAGACGCATATGACGCTAGTCCAGAAAGCACGGAATGTTTCCCATGACAAATCTCGTAGTGAGTGTACTATTGGCGACATAACCCCGGAACGAGGATGACGAACGGTTGCACGGGACCCTGTAGGCCACAAGAAACGCAAGGCCCCCCTTGACTGTGGGCAGACAGGGATGCTGGTCGTTGGGCAGGACCTGAACAAATGGTTGTCCTGCGGCAAGGCCCCCTCAAGTCTGACCGAACCGAGAGTGGACCCCTGATTGTGGCACGTCTCTTACCATCAAGGACGGCCGCCCAGTACCATTTGCGACTGAGTGCCAGGACCAGCGTCATCTTGGTAGTCTTTAATGAATCCTACTTGCCTTTACCAGCATGCTGTGGCCGGGCTATCCCCGTCCTCCGACCGTGCTGCGCTTTACGTACCCTTGACTTAATTCTCTAGAAGTCCGGGACCCGAGGTCCGAGCGCCTGAGGCTGTGAGCGAAACTGTCAAATGCGCCCGCGATGGTCAACCCTTGTATGTACTCGCGCAGACCGATGAACTCACCGACCCTTCCCGGCACACCCTCCCCAAGATGACGGGTTCTCGTCCCGATCAATCTCACCACGGGTCATCCCTCAGGCTCAGGAACAAGCGGGGAAGGAGCCGGGCAATCGGACTGGCCACGCGCGCCCTAGGTGCGATCGAGCGACGAATCGCGGCACGTACGGGGAACAGCGCCAGCGTATCCTGGTTCCGGCTAGGCTTCATGTCTGGCTTGGGCATGACTGAAGCCACCGACCCAGGGTGATGTCCCGGCTATAGATAAAAGGACGCGAGGGCCTGCGCAAATGTAGTTTCTCCATCCCAAGTCCCAAGCCTGGACTCAGCATGCCTGCCCTCACTACTGTCCCCGCGTTCCCTTCCGACGTTCCAACGCACTCGCTCATCGTCATCGACTATCAGCTGCTTCAAGCCGGAAGCAATGATGAGATGGCGAAACTCTGGCACGCTGCTACCCACCTGGGCTTCTGGTAGTGAGTAGCATGTCCGGGACTCTGGACCTCAAGCGCCAAGTCTAATTCACATCTCGTCACAGCCTCAGAAACCACGGCGTCGACCGTGAGGTTAACGCCATGTTCGACGTCGGCGCGGAAACATTAGCGCTTCCCCTGGCAGAGAAGATGAAGTTCGAACAAGGTGACACTGGCGACTCATTTGGGTAGGCTCCTTACCACTTCGTCTATATATTCCCGTGGCGGAATCTCATGGAGTTTCAGATACAAAGCCCGAGGAACGATCGCAACTGACCTGAGTGGCACCCGAGACACCGTCGAGTTCCTGAACATTGCGCAGGACGACGCTGTCTCGTGGCCGCGGCCTATTCACCGGACATATCCGTCATCCGTCAACGCGAGGATGCAGGATGCTGTGATTCCCTTCGTACGAAAGTCGATGGCGGTCAACAACACGATCCTGGACATCCTCGAGAGGCTTCTCGGCCTGCCAAAGGGAAGCCTTGCCAATCTCCACGCAACACATGAACCCTGCGGAAGCGAGGCCAGGGTAGTCAAGACACCTCCCAATCAGAGCACCGCTGGGATCGGAGCGCACACCGACTTTGGAACTCTGGTCAGTCTTCGTGGCTTATCTGCGTGTCGGCGGAAGGCTCACCTACATTCTGCAGACGTTCCTGCACAACCGTCTCGGCGGTCTCCAAGTCATGCCACCTGGCTCACAAGAATGGCTTTACGTTAAGGTATATATTATCACTAGAGGTTTGTACCTGTCTCACCTGTCTATTGTTCGTCGCAGCCTCTTCCTGGTCATGCGATATGCAATATTGGAGATGCTCTTTCGATTTTCAGTGGCGGCATCTTGCGTTCGAATTTGCATCGTGTGATGTACGTCTGGCTTCCTATCTTACAACTGAAACTTCTTCTCATCTCGCCAATCAGGCCGCCACCGGGTCACCAGTCGCGTTACGAGCGATACTCCGTCGCATTCTTCACCCGCCCGAACAACAATGTTATCCTCCGGCCGCTCACGGACAAGAGCAGGCTGATTGCGGACGCCGCCGCGAAGAACCCGAGGGAAGAATTCAACAGCGGTGCGACCGCCGGCGAATGGACAGCGCGCCGGATCAGAAAACTCAGGCTGCGGAACCGGAAGGTCAGCCGGAACGCGATGCACCTTGAGAAGCTTGTACTTACGAGTTGTCCGTTGTTCATAGGGTCCAGAAACGTGGTACGAGGCCAAGGGCACCGAGCATCCAGGGCTACGGCATGGGCACGAAACAGTTCGTGCGACAGCATGATACTGACGAAGAGTCCATCCTAGTTGAACGAGCGCAGCCTATGTAGGACATACCTTATCTCTGTATTATCATTCCAAGCTATCTTGTGCATGTATGCGTATACTTCGATATTCCTAACTTGTAGTACTTTACGCACGAAATCAATAAGATTCTGTACATTACTCATCTAGTCTGCGATATCGTTGAAGCTTGAAGGTGGATACGGTTGCAATGGACCGAGACGGATTGGAGCATTGATCGCTCGCCAGCCTTGCCAGGAAACTTGAAGAGGCACGAGAACGACAAGTCGTTCTAGCCAGCGTGTTTGTGATGTCAGGTACACGACAGAGTGGGGATTCTCGGTCAGAGACAAGGTAGCTGCAGGCACAATGGTGCGGAAGGCTGCGAACTTGTCACGGTCAAACAACTGCCATTGGGCGCTTATATGCGCAACTCGGTTCCGGCCGTGGCTATGCCGCGAGTTTCTTGGACGCTGAGCGCTCATGTGACTTGTACTTCAACCACCACCACTACAGATCTCTCCTACAATCCTTTGTGTTACAGGAGACCTTCAAGGAACATCGCGTGCTTCTAATTGCTCTTTAACAGCACATAGAGTTTGTCGTGTCGAGTTTATCCGCAGCTGGGTATCAAAATTGAAGCTTTGAATGGTAGCCGAGATTCTTCTGTCCTCTGGAGCCGCCACACATTGGTACCTCCCTGCAGCGAGAGTGAGTAGTAGTCACATTGGCCGTTTGCCTTAGACGGGCATGAGCACTTTGACGCCAAACGAGTAAGCTACTGTCCCCCTGAACATGATACTAGTGTCCAGATAGGCTTACTCCTTCGTTCGTCGCAGTATCGAGATCGCCACCAGAGCGGCAGACCATTTCACGCGCATCTACTACACGACTTACGATTCGCCAACGCGAATCGATGACCTCCCAAACTTCTACAGACCCAACTCTGCCCTGACATGGAACGGCAAGCCTTTCGAGGGCGTTGACGGCGTGCGAGAGCTCGTCTCCGGCATCCCCGCCACAAAACACGAGGTCCAGTCCTTCGATTGCCACCCCATTCCAGGTCAGCCACTTTCCTCCTCAGATGATACTCACGAATGGCATCTCATGTGTGAAACAGGAAGCCAGCCACCTTCGCTGCTGGTGACCGTATCGGGCATCGTCACCCACGGCAAGGGTCCAGCTGCGAACCCTGCCAACGCGCCGCGTAACAATGTCGACGGCCACCCCCGCGTCTTCTCTCAAACGTTCATGCTGGCCCCAGACCCGAACGCTCCCCCAACAAAGTCCGGGGAGGTTGCAAAATACTATATTACCGCAGACGCCTTACGGTTCGTCGGTTAGGCACGCGGGCACGTGGCAGCCACGGTACGCTTCACTGTCAATTGAGGCTCAAGGACGCGAACACGACTCATTCTTCGCCAGAGCTTGCGTCTATGCGGCATGTACAAATCTCGTGGCCTGAATGTGGCGGATCGCGAAGCGCGACGGGGCTTCGGCGTCCATTCCATGCAGCTACGTTTCCACGTTCACAACGTGGGTAAAGAAGCCGCATCGCGGGGAAGCACTCGACATGTTCAACAGTGCAGACTCATACACAGCCGAAAAGTAGAGAAGGAATGTAGCAGATATCATTACATATGGTAGTATACAGTACGCAACCGTCTCCAGATCCCGATGCATGAAACATAGGCGATTATCCAAATGTTTGGCTCTGCGACAGCCGTCAGTATCCTCGTTCCAGAGAACAGGTACGCGAGGACGTACAGAACGTGCGCTTCGCTTGACCTTGGACAGCCGCCACTCGTCAGGTTTCTCGTACTTGTTGAACAGGGGCTCAATCTTCTCCTGTCGCTTCCGCTTACTGATCTTGTTCGCGTCGGCGACTTTGAAGAACTGCGGCGCCACCTCGACCAGCCACTTGGGCTCGATCGCGGTCACGTTGTGGCAGTACTCACGAGTCGTGAGGATGAGTTCATGGTAGATGCACCATTCGGGGTTCCGGTTGAAGAGAGCCGAAGAGGGGTGAATGTAGACCGGAGTGCCCTCAACGAGAGTCTTGTATCCCTCCTGCGGGTCCTTCTTTGCGGCATTCCGGAAGTATCCCGAACAGATGGCCTTGCGGACACGATTGTAGTCCTTGCCTGCGGAGATGATATCGTGCTTGTACCTGCATGCGCACGTCAGCACCCGCCACCATCGGGGCGAAAGCGGAAACTTACCTGTCCATGATACCGAGCAACTGTTTCCGAACGTCTTGCGCACGCCTCATGCTACGAGCCTGGATGAAGTTTTCGTAGCACCAGGGGTTCGAGAAGTTGCTGGCCTTCCAGCCATTGTATACGGTGAGAAGCGTCAGATGATCGCCTTCCGGTTGGTGGAACTTGGCCTTCTTCGAGTCGGCCTGGCCCTGTTTCTCCTTCGGCCGGTAGAACACGCTCTGCACAGAAAGCATGGCAACAATCGACAGGATCTCCTCAGAGCAGCCGAGCTCGACGGATGCGATAAGAGTCTTCGCGAGAGCTGGGTCCATGGGAAAGTCTGCCATCTTGCGACCAAGACGCGTCAGCAGACCTTCATCGTCGAGCGCGGACAGTGCGTAGAGCGATTCTAGCGCGGTGATCATCGTTTGGGCCGGAGGAGGGTCCATGAAGTCGAAGCTCAGCAGGTCGTTAATACCCATGGCCTTGAGCATGAGGATGGTGCTAGCCAGATTCGTGCGCTGGATATCAGGAATCGAGTTCGGTAGCATCTCGTTCCGGAACGCCGCCTCGGTGTACAGACGGTAGCACTTCCCGGGTCCGGTACGGCCAGCACGACCAGCTCGTTGACGGGCCTGAGCTTGCGAGATGGGCATGACCACGAGCGAGTCCATACCTAGACGCGGATCATAGGCGTTCTGCTTCGAAAAGCCGGGGTCGATTACGTAGTAGATGCCAGGTATTGTGAGACTCGTTTCCGCGACGTTCGTTGCAACAACGACCTTACGCGCGCCGGGAGGAGTGGGCTCGAACACACGAGACTGGACCTCGGAGGGGAGGGCGGAATAAATCGGGAGGATGATAAGCTCTGGGACCTTCGGACCAAGCGCCTTCATTCGCTCGTAGAGGATTTCGCACGCCGTGTCAATTTCCTCTTGACCCGTCAGGAATAGAAGGATATCCCCAGGAGGCTCCGATAGGTGGATTTGCATGACGGTGATCAGGGATGCGTCAAGATAATCCGTCTCCGGCTCCTTGGTGTAGAGGATCTCTACGGGATAGGTCCTGCCGGGGATGGTAAAGATCGGGCAGCCAAAGAAGTACTTCGAGAACTTCTCGGCGTCAAGGGTGGCAGAAGTGACGATGAGTTTGAGGTCAGGTCGACGCTTGATTGCCTCTATATGTACGCGTTGGTATAGGCGCAGGCTGTCACAAGAAGGTGCACTCACTCTTCAGAAGGCCGAACAATACATCAGTGGCAATGGTACGCTCGTGGGCCTCATCCAGCATGATCACGGAGTACTGGCTCAGATCCGGGTCGATAAGAGATTCTCGTTGGAGCATACCGTCCGTCATGTATTTGATGCGAGTTTCTGGACTTGTGCAATCCTCGAAACGAATCGTGTACCCGACTTCCTGTCCAAGCCTGCAACCAACCTCCTCCGCCACGCGCTTCGCGACAGACATGGCGGCGACACGCCTAGGCTGCGTGCATCCTATCCTGCCCTTGTCCGCGAAGCCCTCCTCTGCCAGATATTGCGTCATCTGCGTCGTCTTGCCCGAGCCCGTATCACCGACGACGATGAGAACGGGGTGCTGGTATGCAGTCAGGACAACAGCGTATTAACAGCAATGAATAGTGACGTACCTCTCTGATAGCCTTCAACAACGGATCGCGAAGCTTATAGATCGGAAGACTCTTCCGTTGCTCCTGAATACTGAGGGATGTGATCTCACCGAACGTCGTCGCCTTATTGAAAGTAGCCTCCTTCCACTTCGGCTGCTCCCCGGCCTTCTGGCCCCGAAGTTCGCGTCGGAGATCCTGAGCAAAGACGCGGTCACTATCCTTTGCCATGGGGTCCAACCAAGGTGCGCTGAAGTCACGAGCTTCGGAGTCCGCCTGCTCGTTCGCCTCTTGCTGTCGCAACTCTCGACGCTCCTTGGCAAGAGCCGCGCCCGCAAGGGCAGCCCGGTTAAGCGAACCGTCCGGCGCCTTGACAATCTTGACAGGACTGAGCTCTAAAGTCTTCTTCGTCTGACCAGCAAGGAACGCGGGCTCCTCCTCGCGGACTTCGACATCCAGTTCCTCCTCTACTTCCGCAGTCGCAGCAGGATTCCCAAAGTCTTCATCAAGGTCGGGATATTCTGAAGCGTCAAGAGCACCGGAGGAGATGAGCTGCTTGATCTCCCACCGTTCCGGTGAAGTCAGACGTTTTGCAGACCTGACGACTTCCTCCTTGACACCGCGCGAGTTGAGGGGAACGGCATTGGCGCCATGGGCCGCTCGTCGTTCCTCCTCGGCAGCAAGCTCCGCTTCGGACTTGATGCGCAGATGGGGAGTGAGGTCGCGTCCAGTGGCCTGATCGACGTCCTTCATGGAGAGACCAACCCGGTTTCCCGCGACGCTCATGACCTTGACCTTGACTGACTGTCCACGACTCAGCAGGTCAGCGGGCGAGTTCGCGCGCGCGCCTTGCTGAATGTTGGAAACGTGCACCATACCTGCCCCGTAGTCAGTCTGTGGGCACAAACGGTAATGGAGGAGCAACGCACCTTCCACTCGGCCCGCCACGCCTTCCAACTGAACAAACGCCCCGAACTCCTTCAGACCGTTGACCCGGCCATCATAGATCTTGTAGAGCACCGGGCGATCGTCCAACTGCCGACCGCCTCCTCTGCCTCTCCTGTCATCATACCCCCTCCCCCGTGAAGGACTTGGACTGCGACGGCGTGGTGGTGGGGGAGGAGAGCGTGAACGAGAACGTCGTGGGCGCTTCGGAGCTCTGTCGTCCTCCGGAGTCCGTGGTCGCGCTCTCTTCGCAGCACCCTCCAACTGAGACATCATGTCGTCTACCTCTTTCATGATTGCATCCTTCGGAGCACCCGGATCCCACTCCTGGTCTTTGAGCGCGAGTCCTGGGAACATGCGCTTCTTCTTATCCAGCTCATCCAGCCCGGGACCATCGACAGCGCCAGTCTCCTTTCCAGTTGATTTCTTCTTGTGCTTCGGATGGAGGGTGAGGATGAGACGGTCGACATTCTCTACGAACGACTCTGGGAAGTTGGCGCCGACTTCCTGCAGTTTCCCCTTGAACTCGACGAGAGTTTTAGACTGGTCATGAAGGGAGATGACGAACTCGGCTAGTGTCTTGTCGCTAAGCCCAGTGTGGTTGTCGATCTCCTGAGTGATTTTGGCGACGAGAGAAAGGAACTCGAGGTTGTAGAGGTCAGTTTCGGCCATGGTGGATCAGAGTCAAGCCACTAGATCGCGGACTGTCTCTGCAGCCGTGTCGCTTGACCACCCGTACAGACGCCTTTTGGTTCAGGTCGGCGGTTGGTTCGGTACCACATGCTGAGTAAGCGCAGCTCTAGAAAGTCGTGGGTGAGCATAGGCGCCTACTCATCCCGTTCTTTCTGTCGAAGCAGGCGCCTGGGATGCCCCCCAAGAGAGGCATTGTCAAGTCCGGAAATGCCGGTAACTCATCCAAAGCATCGAAGCCTCCTCTGGTACCTGCACCAGCGTCCGAAGAGAAACCTCTCTTTCCACCAGGCTCAAAGTATCCCTTGAGTTTGCTACACGAGAGGTATGTAATTCACCAGATATCGTTACGTCCAGTGATGTAGAATCAAACATCTTCCCCTGCTATGACCTGCGGTCTCAATACCGTCTTGGAGTCTCATCTCTCAATGTTCTCTCTGACGTGTCGGATAGATGTCAGAAAAATGGATGGGAGAAGCCCATTGTCGATACGGTACCTGATCAATCCGTCTGGGAAGCCACCGTCCTAGATGACTGACCGTAATCAATCCATAGCGAAGGCAGGGAGATGGCTACTCATTCTCTGTCCTGCTGAGCAGAGTCAACAAGAAGGGCTCAGAGCGGGAGTCGGTCCGCCTGGAGCCCCATCCACCTTTTGCTATGCCTTCGGCTCTGGAGGCGCGCCATTGGGGCGCGACGTACGCACTTTATAGGGTACGATATGCCGAAAATATGTTGACTTATGTCTGATGATCTGCATGCCAGTTTTGCAACGGCATACAACTGGATCGCGTCCTACCCCCCGGTCCACGTGAGTACTGGAAACAGTTGGCGGCCGAGCACAAGGCAGCCCCGGCGCACCAAAGCTGGATGTATGACGCTGATCCGTTTGCCGCTCGTAAGGCGGTGAACGAAAGGCAGGAGAAGGCCGCCCTGAAGAAGGAAGAAGCCAGCCGGCCCGAGGGGAGTTCCAAGCCTGCTCAACAGTCTTCAGACTTTGCCAACGCTCCCGAAGCGAAGATGGCTAGCACTCTCAGAGACTTTGTCGAAGACGCTGTCAAGAAGGTAATTACGGCATTGTGCTGGCTCAGTCGTTAGACTGACGAATAAAACAGGGACTCGCCATGTACCCCGATGCTGGGGATGCAGAACCGAACCATATCAAGTCAGAGGACCACTCACGCCTCGCGAAGGAATTGGGACTTCTCGGCTTCACTCTTGTGCAAGCTCGGAAAGCGATCACAGCTCTCTCTCAGGCTTCTGCTTTGACCTCTAGTCTCCTTGGACGCCTTCCCCCTCTGCAGGCTTGCATCGAGTATCTTATCTTGCAAGTTCCGGAGTGCGACCTGCCGCAGCGCTTCCTTCCTTCCGTCAATTCTTCCAACCCCTTCATTACTGGCGCACACGCCGGTACAGATGATTTGAAGAAGCGTTGGGCAGAAGACAAGGCGATCAAGGAATGCGGTTGGCCTGCCCACGTCGTGAGGGAGTGCACCTCTGACCAGGCCCTCACCGAAGATTGGGGGAAGCTCATTTTTTCTCTTAACTGCAGACTTGTTGGTGTGGACTGGAGGGAGGCTGCGACGATCGAGCCCCAAGACCTTGAAGTCATTGATCAAGAGGAAATAGAGGCCCTCAGCGGGCGAGCCGGGATCAATAGAGAACTTATGATCCCGCTCCCTGTGGCGCCACTGACCCTTCATATCATTGTCCCCGAGGATCGCATACTCCCAGCTGCTGGCACATTCCCTCCGATGTACCTTACATCGTCAACCGTTGCAGCTTATGTCCGCCTACATGTACTCTCCAAGCTCGTCATGGCGCTCAAGACGGGTAACCTCCGCGACCCGGGCGAGACGGTCATCATGGCGATCATGCGTCATGTTGAAGAAGAATGGGCGGTAATCCAGGATGATGGTCCTCCGGACATTTCGGTGGTTATGCGGCATCTCCTGCCCAAGGCCCAGCCATCTACAGCCCAAGGGTCGACTGTCGCGACAGATGAGACAACGTCCGCATCATCGAAAAGCAGACGTCCTCGGGCAATTCGACGGGACGACCGTACGGGCGAGCGTGTAAAGCAAGAATATGAGCAGCTCGTTCGACAGGCAGAATACGCGAAAATGCTGACAACAAGGGAACGACTCCCGGCCTTCGCGTCAAGGAGACAGTTCCTCGACATTCTGAAGGCCAACCGTTGCGTTGTCGTCGTTGGCGAAACTGGTAAGTGGCCGTTATTCTTGATACGAGCAAGGGCTGACCTCAGGTTCAGGCTGCGGCAAGACCACACAGCGTGCGTTACCACGCGTGACGTCGCATGCTCTTATTGAAGCTTCTGCCCTCAGTACCCCAATTTGTCCTCGACGAGCTCATTGCAACAGGGCAAGGGGCAAAGGCCTCAATCATTGTCACCCAGCCGCGCAGGCTGTCCGCAATCGGGGTCGCTGCCCGAGTTTCTGCGGAGCGTCTCGAGGATGGTTCAGTCGGCTACGCTATTCGTGGAGAGTCCAAGCAAGGGTCACATACCAAGATCCTCTTCTGTACGACCGGGGTCGTTCTCCGGAGACTGGGCTCGGGTGACAAGCTGGACGACGTGACCCACGTCGTCGTTGACGAGGTGTGCATCTGGTGCAGTATTCATAGTCAGTCCTGTGACCTGACGGAGACATTATTCGACAGGTCCATGAGCGTTCTGTTGACGGGGACTTCCTACTGCTCGAATTGCGCGAGCTGCTGAAGACCCATCCTACTCTCAAGGTTATCCTTATGTCGGCGACTATCAACCACGAAGTCTTCGTGAAGTACTTCCACAATGCGCCCCTTCTGACTATACCCGGTTTCACTCATCCGGTTGAAGACAAGTCAGTGAATCCATGGCCCCGAGGACGTCATTGCTCACACGAGGTTGCAGGTATCTGGAGGATTTCTTCCCTCAGCTGGAGTACCGCCCGTCTGGGCCCAAGTCATCCAGGCAAGCGAGAGACAGGGACGACGAGGCGGGCCAAGAGCTCGATAGCGCCGGCCTCGACGACGAGTCTCAGATGGCCATTCGAGCCATCATGCGCTCGGAGTCCTTTGACTATGACGTACGTCTGTGAATCTTCGACATAGACTTATGATGCCACTAACGGTCGGGTATAGCTCATTGCTGCAACGGTAAATCATATTGTAGGTACAGCAAAGAAGCGAGGCGGGATTTTGATCTTTCTGTCTGGTGTGCAAGAGATCCGACAGTGCATGGATCGGCTGCGGACTGTACCCAACTCGAAGATCTTACCACTTCATGCAAACTTAACAAACGACGAGCAGCGACGTGTATTCGCTTCGACACCAGAGTGGAAGATCATTGTGTCGACAAATGTGGCGGAGGTGAGATCCACACAACATCTAGTCACGGCGGACATCTTTACCACTGAACTAGACTTCGGTGACAATCGACGATGTCATCTATGTCATTGACGGTGGCAAAGTCAAAGAAACCCACTACGACGCAGAAGCAGGCTTGACCAGGCTCACCCAGCAATGGGTCACTCGCGCGGCTGCGAAGCAGCGCCGTGGACGTGCCGGACGCACCCAGCCCGGCATCTGCTACAAGCTCTACACTCGCGCCCAGGAGAAACGCATGGCGCCATTCCCTATCCCGGAGATCAAGCGTGTACCTCTGGAAAGTATCTCATTGACGCTCAAGGTCGTCCATAACGATGTGAAGGTGCGAGTGTCTGTAAAACTATGGCCCGACGGATCCATCTGAACACTCCTGCAGACCTTCCTTTCTCGTGCCATCGATCCGCCGGAAATTGCTGCCGTCGATAAGGCACTCGAGGTCTTGGAGGAGCTCGCAGCGATTGGCTCAGATGGTGAGCTGACGGCGCTTGGGCGACATATGGTCAGTACTTCCTGTCATGATATCTACCTCGTCCGCTGACTATGTATGCGTGTAGGCAATCCTACCTATGGATCTTCGCTTAGGAAAGGTACGCTGTATATCTGGCCATCTCGAAGCGCTACATCTGACGTGTCTCTAGATGCTCATCCTTGGGACAGTGTTCCGTTGCCTCGGCCCTGTCTTGACGGTTGCTGCGTGCCTCTCATCTAAACCTTTGTTCCTCAGCCCGATGGATAAGAGAGAAGAGGCGAAGCAGTGCGTGTCTCTTCCAGCAGTCGTGTCTCCACATTCTTATGATGTATCTTCTCAGAGCTCGCGCGCGCTTCGCGACCGACAACAGCGACTTGCTCACAGACGTGAATGCCTACGAGGAGTGCGTGAACTTACGGAACAAAGGAGAGTCACCAGGTATCATCCGCGTGTTCTGCGAACAAGTATGCTTCAAGTCTTCCGAAACGCTGCGTGTCCGTTAATCAGTATGTTGCAGAACTTCATCTCCATCTCGACGATCCGAGACATTACTTCACTCCGTCAAGACTTCATGTTTTCCCTCTCGACCCTAGGTTTCGTGCCCGAACAGTCCAAGCCCAAGGATGAGGCGCTCAACACGAACAGCACCAACGTCAATCTCGTGAAGGCGGTCATTCTCGGCGGCTTTTGGTCCCGCGTTGCGCGTGTTCACCTACCCAAGTCCGCTATCAAATTCGGTCGCGTGCAAGCTGGAACGATACAACGGGAAAACACCGCAAAGGAGTTCAAGATGTACGACTTGAAGGAGGGCCGCGTATTCCTGCATCCTGCCTCTGTCCTGTTCAACGCGTCCGCGTGGAAATCGCCGTTCTTGACCTATTTTCAGAAGCAGATGACAAGCAAGGTATTCTTGAGGGATGCAACAGAAGTATGTGCCATAATTTCCCGTTATATATGCAATTCTCACATACATGGTTAGGTACCGATCTATGCTTTGTTGTTGTTTGGTGGCCCTATCATGGTCAATCACATCGGAGGCGAATTGACGATCGGTACGAAGGATTGTATCATCAAGCTCAAGGCGTGGCCGCGTATTGGTGTACTTGCCAATCATCTACGGTGAGCTACTATCCTTCATGCTGTGCGACCACGCATTGATAGATGACCTTGACAGTCGCCTCCTGGATGCTCAGCTGTTGCAGTGCATCGAGGAGGGAACATTATTAGGCCTTAGCTCAGGAGATAACCCTGTATTACAAGCGATTCAGGCACTTTTGGCGGGTGACGGGTTATCGGTCTAAGAAATTTTCGTAACATGCGGCTACGGATGCACACGTTCTTGGGGGACCAACAATCTATACCGAAAAACCGTGCAGTCTCAACATGCTGCAAGGCATGGCGTCAGCGCACGAAGTCTGCAATCGACTAGTGACACTGCACCTGACCTCATCCCGTGAGCGCGAAGGCTCGCACATTCATACGGGTCGTTCCGCGCGTTCGCTATCGTTCGATTGGTCGATCAATCCGGTGGGCGCTACGTCTGTATCTGTATTGCAGATAGACGGTGTAGAGTGTGGTATAGGGCCGTGCGGAGCATCGATGCTAAGAGCCGACTCATTAATATGGAGGTACGTCGGTCCATCCGGGACTGCAAGCAGTGGTAAGCTCTGGCGAACATCGCACTGAGGGGTGGCAACAAGTGTCGCGTCACTGGTTGCGGGAGCTACGACTGGATAAAATATTCTGCATCAGGACCCTGTAGCCATACGGGCAAAGACAGCAAACGACACTGACTTGTTGGTGGAGACTTTGAGGCTGCCGCCCCTGCTATTCGCACTTCACAGTACCGTCCAATCGCGCGCATATGATCCAGCCATGGTGGCGACTGGTAGGAAGGTATATTATCGGCCAAGAAGCGAAAGGTGGCATCGAGCGTTCGTATGACGTTCAAATGTGTCGCGACACACATCGGCGAACCTTGCCGCAGATCGTCTTCAGATAGAGGGAAGAGCTTGGCTCTATGCAGCGTCCTGGAAATGCACTCCCATGTCCCCTCATTTTCCTTCCACGGAGAGCATGTCAAAAAGGTATTGAGGAATAGCAGGGTGTCGACAAAGGCGCTCTCGTAGTATTGGGAACGACCGGGAGCCTTTTCGGGATTATCACGTATAGGCGTGTGGGCAAGGGAGAATTGGGACATCAGAGCGCGAACGCCGGGAAAGGTGTCACATATCGCATTTTTTGACATCGCAAGTTCGCCAGATTGCTTCCATTGCATGGAATCTTTCGGTAGGGCAACAACCACTGTAAATAGGGAGAGAAGGTGTTTTTTTTTTCAAGCATTTATATCCCGCGTACATAGTACAGGTGCGGCAGTCTTCACTAGTATGTTTCGCTGGATGCCAGCGTCATTTCCTACCTAAGGGACCTGTTCAGTGGTTTCTGGCCACACAGGTTGATGGAGAGGGCAGGGCAGTGCATCGCCCATGAGTTGGTGGGATTTCGAAGCCTAGGTGGCGTCAAAGTCCGCCAGCTGTGGTGGAGCGTCCTCGAAGGAGAACGGCGAGGGTAGTCTTCCAGGAACGTACAGAGCTCCGCGAAGGACTCCTTCCGCACCAGAAATTCGTGCTCGGCTGTCCACCGCCACCATCGCGGCCGCTTGTAGTTCGTGCAATCGCGCAGAACGTGAAGGCGGCTTTGGACGACCCCACACCATGGACACTCTGCGGGTTCGTCTGGGAAAAACCGGAGCCGATATGACCCCAGTGGTGCATGGTTGAGGCACGCGCGACTAAAGCGCGTCATGGCCCCTCGGGAGCCCCCAAGTACCTTGATGGCGGGGGGCTGAACATGTTTGGGGGGGAGGAGCGCGCGTAGCCGCAAGAAGCTCGTCCCGAGATATGTGGGCGATTCCTTGGAGAGGCGTCGCCAGTCCGAGAGCATTTGGACCGTTGCCCGGTGTCGGGCATAGGCTAGGGAGCGTGATGAGGTGCCAGGGCCCTCAAGGTCAGCGGCGCGTTTGGCAGCTTCGTCGACCTTCTCATTCCACGGTATGCCCGTATGAGAGGGAGAGAAGGTGTTATTGTGCTGACCTGTCATTCAAGCGCAAGCGGAGTCACCCTGCAGGAAAACATGCCACTCAATGTGCATGCCCTTGTTGGTCTCTCGCGCAAGGTATCGCAAGAGTCACCACAACGCGGATACGCTGTTCACTCCTCGTAGAACGAAGCTACTCATTGTATGAAGGAATTGCTGTCCAAGTGGGGTGTCTGCCGAGCCATCCAGAAACGAAAATAACATGGGGGGAAGGAGGTCAAATACAATGGCGCGATGGACCAGGCTGTCGTCTATCGCTTGCGTCATTTTGAGTCCAACTGCCAAGATGAAAGGCAGTATAGGACGCCACGTGACAGTACTGTCGGGGAGTGGGATGTCGATTCCCGTACGAATCCTGATGATCGTGTTAGAGCATCTCACGACGTGGCCCGGATCCAACCGCCCGATACAAGGAGTCACCGACAGATTGAGGAATGTGTCGTCGAGAGTAAGCTCGTAGGCTTTGATCGCGAGCCCCTCATCGATTTCGTCCAACATGGACCGCGTCCTGGCTTGCTCCCTTGCTCGCCACCAACGGATCTTACTGCGAGCGGCCAACCAGGTGCTAAGCCATCGGGACATACGGTCGCATCGCCCACGAAGCTGAACAGCGAATCTCCACCCGTGTCTGATCTCGAGGGGCTCGAGAAGACATGCGACTTTGACGGATAGTATGGACGCCATCCGAGCCATGATTCGAGCGACGAATTGAGAGGCAATGTAGATGCTGAGCGCCTGGGGTGACTGGTACGGGCAGTCTGCTCGAAATGTAGGTATGACGGTGCTAAAGATTATGAACAAGAGGAGCAGGCCGGCAAGGACGGATATGACAGTGGCGACGGCTGGGTGGATAGTCCATAGGAGAATGACGAGTCCGGCGAGGAATAGAGCCAGGGATGCTTGTAGAAGGACAGGAATCAGTGCGATGATGCCGACGATCCGCCATTTGAGTTAGTTGCCGTATCGGTATTGACGCAAGCGAGTAACATTGCGAGACGTCCCCAAAGACCCTCGTCGTATTGATGCAGCCATTGCTTAACCATAATGGCAAGAGATGAGGCCGAAAGCGTGCAAATGAGGGAGGAGAACCATAGGGCGTTGATCCACACGGCGGAAGGAGGGGGCTTGAACGACGAGTCAGGGGGTAGGACGAATGCCGGGCGAGTGGAGTTGATCGCGGTCGGGGTCGCAGTGAAGCTTGACAGCTGAGTGGAAATCTGGGTGAGGACCAGGAGCGACGCCCCGGCAGTATCTGGTTGCAGTAGCACATACGACTGCGCGTTGAACGCAGTTAAGACGGCGGAGAAGAGACCGGCCTGGAGCGACGTCGCTTAGCATTTCCGTTACGCGGCACACAACAGCACTTGCAACTTGTACGTACAAAAACGAGAAGCATGTCGATCTCCGCCTTCCACCTCGCTATCATCTGGTCACTGTGGGCTTTGCAGAATCTGCGCGCACTCGTCCCACGCCTTCGCTGTCTGCTCTTCAGTGAATGGGCTCTTAACGTCAGGGATACCTGCATGCAGCAGCTCAAACCACCAAATAGAGGTAGAACCGGCCGATATACTACACCAAACGCGAGTAGTCGGTCAGTATAGCTATGCAACTCAGTAGCGACTAGCGGATGCACCTCACTAGGTAGCGCCATTAGAGATATTACAGTAGATGCTTTCTGTCACGGCACTTGTCAGATGAACTGCCACAACCCAATACACGTCAAGACATACCGGCTTTGAAATCAGTGTCGCCAATGGTTCAAACTGCGAGGACGTTACCCCAGTCCCAGCCTCCTCGGACACATTGAGTTGTATTCGGATGGCACGTGTCCAAAGTGCTTCATTCGCGCTCCGTGCCGTGACAGGTATATGGGCGATTCTGGCCCGCGCCTCATAGACATACCCGAAGATAATAATACTGTACCTTGATGAAGCGGCACTGAAAGCGGGTTCAGCACGAAACTTCGACCTCGTGAGGCATTGCGGAAACAAGAGATGTGGGCGCTTATCCGGGAGGAGGCGTCTTGCAGTGCGGATATCTTATAGGTGGTACGGCAAAGTGTATAACAACGTGTCAAACGAAATGCCCCAATTATATGTATGTTTGCTTATGTGCGATCGTGAACCCCGCCAGGGACACTGGTACGTTACTGTTGATAATGATACAACTATAATATTGATGCTGTTCGTCAAATTGCCGTGCGGTCATGGATGAGTCAGAATACCAACGAGAACTGGACCAATATCGCGTCGACCTTCGTCCAACTCTCGCTACCTCCGTCCCGCCGGGCCAAGCACGACGAGGCTCTCGCTCGCCGCGGTCCGATGACCCGACTGCCTCCCGTGAAGGCCAGCTCGAGCCTCGCGCGAGGCCTGCGTCCCTACCGCGAGGTCGAGCCCGAGCGCGTTCGCATCCTCCGCCTCTCCGCTCTCCTCCTCCACTGGCTCCGGGCGCCACTCTGGGGAGCAAGACGCCGCCCTTCGCCGCGCCGGGGCTGACCCAGAGCAACTCCTCCCACCTAAGGGCGTAGGAACGCTGGAAGAGACAGGCATGGGCGCGTAATATGGCGCGGCGTACGGCTGCGTGCGGCGCACGCTTGGCGAGCCTGAGGACGCGGAGAAAGCAGACGTTACGGAGGAACCGGAGAACGTCGAGGTGGAAGCGGATGTGGAGATGCTCGACCGCGGTGAGTCAGGGATGGGGGTTTTGCGGGATTCTTTGGAGGCGAGGGTCAATGAGAGCGAGTTGAGCATACGGCGAGGGCCAGACGCCCGGCGAAAAGGAGGATTGGTGGGAGCTAGAGCGGAAGTGCCACATTAGCTCATGTGGCGTCGAGGAAGGCGAAGGTGCACGTACTAATAGAAGCCTTGGGATTTCGATGCTTCAGGCGGAAGGGGTTGACGAACGTGGTCGTGAACGTCTCCCCGGAAATAGAGTCCGTCCTCTGTTGCGGCCGAATGTCGCTTTCCGGCGCAATCACGGAAGGCGCCGGACACTCTCTGGACTGCGATCTCCGGGCCTGCTTCACGGGCTCGCGAGCATCATCTTCCAAGGGCGACGTGGATCCCAATGGTGCTACAGAAGGGCTCGGTGCAGAAGCCGATCTCGGCTTCGTAGACACCTTGCGCGACAACGATTTCAGCATCTTCATAGTGGGAAGCCGTACATTTCGTGTCAGTCGTGGCGAGCCGGTGGGAGAGTCAGTGGAGTGGGTGTCGTCTTGATCGAAGTTGGCGGCCATCCCCGACTCGCCCTCAATACTTGGGAGGTCAGGTACGTAGCGGGACGGCGAGCTATTGTCCACTAAGGTCAATGACGCCACGGAGCCCGCTGACGACTTGGGACTCGGTGGTCGCGAAGACTTCGAGAGCGACCATCGCATTCTAAACGAAGGCCGCTTGGATGTCAAAGGTACGGGAGGTGGGGCGGAACGAATGTCGCACGGTGCCGACTTGGTCGATTCAACATCATCCTTCTCCTCCAACTTTGGGGGCTCAATAGGAGCGGTGGCAGGGGACAGTGAAGCACTGCGAATGCGGGGGCTGCGAGGTTTTAGGACGAGTGGTGGCGGTTTAGATCGCAATGGGGGGATAATCCGGCCCAGAATGAATATGACCACACTCTATAGAACCACAATCATTAATATCGAGACTCGTATACGGCGCCATGGGTTCTGCACAACGCACCATCGCGAACCAAGCAATACCCCAGAAGAGCAGAGCCATCCGGGCACCGGAATATTTTGAGAACGGAATGGGAGTGAGGTTGATGGATCGTTCTTTCATGGGGAGTCGTGAATAACCCGACCACTGACGGGGGGTTTATATGACGAACAGATGCCTACGAAGACATCACCAGCCTCTAGGCGCGGCTGACGGGGCTCGGGCTCGATTGACGGGAATGGAGTTGGACCACCGGTCAGGATCAATATGTACCACAAAAGCGACCAGCAAGATCGCTCCCAATAATCCACAAATGTCCAGCGCCGCCAAGTGGAAAGATCACAGAGGTCGGATGTGGGGAGGAGTGGCGTGCACGGGGATCGGTACAAGCAGAGCCACGACCAGAGAATCGGGGATAAGCTGGCGCAGGAAGACGTGGCGACAAGCTAAGATAGGCTGCAGCAGGCTAGCAGTGGCTTTACATGGTCCTAAGAGAGAAAGCGAGGAATAGGACGAGCGGCCGCAGGGAGGGTCTCAAGAACAAAAGTCGAACCATTCCTGCGAGTATTCCGGATCGCGGCACGCCCGCAAGCGCACACTCGCCGCACGTCAATCGTCTTGCGTCGCCGGGCGCCGCGCTGCCCAGGCGTCGAGATCCCCTTCGCCAGACAGCCGAGGAGGGTAACGTACGAAAGTGAGTGCGCATCGTCAGACAAACGTCCACCGACGCTTTAGCAGGGCCTTGTGTCGGACCATCCCTTAGGCGCCTATCTCCCGACCTTCGCCAGGAACGGCAAAATCCGATACGCACCTTGCAATCTCGAGCTCAGCTCCGATCGAGATGAAGCCACGACTCCGCAATGGTGACAAAGTCGGACACCGATACCACGACCGAGAAGTACTTGCGAACACCATGCTGAGGCCGTGCTGATAGACACATAAGTGTGTGCAGGGTGCTGGCCTCGCTGTGACCGGAACTCATTCTTCCGGAAAATACAATCTGACGGTAGTCTTCAACTCGCGAGTAAGCGGCGATCTCGGGAAACCTGGGGAGTGCAATACTGTTGTTCGTGGTGCAGATTAGACGCCCTGAGTTGATTCCACGTCAGTCGTAAGCCAAATCTCCTCTTCGGAGATTAAAGGCGTCGAGAATTAAGGAGTGAAAGGGAGGCTGTATGGCGATGCAGTGTGTCCAGCCTACCGATTGTTACCAACCGTCGGCAGGAGGAGGCTATTAGGGCCACTGCTTAATGGTACCAGCAGAAGTGGTACCGCGGGGGAGGTCGTAGGCCCTTGACCCATGAATATGTCTATTGCGATTGTAACTGAAGGCCTTTACGCCTTTGTGCTCATGATTGCTAGTTTCTCAGCGACTCTGATTGTTCTAGCATATGCCCGCAATGATGCATTGTATGCTGATTGATACCAGAGTAGGCACATTATACATAGCTGTCGGTATTCCCGCCATTTGAGGAATGCTTAGTCGTCGTCTTGGAATAGAGGCATTTCATCTGGAGTGGCGTTCGAAGCGCACGACTGCGTCCCGGGAGGGGATGACCGAGAAGCTGAGGTTGATGTTGGCAGGTCTGCCCGCATCGCCTTCAAGTGTCATGTCGTAGGTCAAAATAAGGTACGCCAGCACCACCTTCAGCTCCATCGATGCAAAGAATCGTCCAGGACTAGGACAGACGCCTCCCATCAGTCGTCATGTTCCTCCCAAATTAGTACATTGCTCACCAAGCGTGCTTTCCGCGCCCAAAAGCGATGTAATCGGACGATGTGTTGACGTACTGGTGTCGGGCACTGTCCCCGCCTTCCCTGACGTCCGAAAAGCGGAAGGGGTCGAACTCGTCGGCACCGTCGTAGTTTGTGGTGTCGGTGTGAGTAGCCTGACCTGCGAAGGCAAACAAGGTTCCTCGTGGTAGATATGTGCCGTCGACAAGCTTGACATCCTGGACGGCCCTCCGTATCATGCCCACTTTACAGCAATAAAGTAAGTCAGAAGCTATGTCACGGTGTTTGTGTAGAAAGGTATCTCACATAGCGTGATGCCGGTAAACCTCTGAGACTCTTTCAAAAGGCTGTCGAGCTTCCACATCTTGTCGAGTGCGGTTTTTGTCCACCCCTCAGGAGCAAGCGCGCTTTCAACCTCTTCACGTAAAACCGGGACGATGTCGAGCCTTGAAAGCATGTGAAAGAATGCATGCGTCAAGCTCTGCCGGTACGTGAGCACGCTGTCAAGATTCAATATGCTTGAGTACTGGTCTCTTACACTTGAAGATGTATGTATGGCGGCAAAATTCTGCAGTTGCAGACGCATCGCGACGTAGTCCAACGGCTCCTTGCGCCCCTGAGCTTCCTCAAGAATCCACTGCAGTATATCATTCTGCAGCGACGTGAGGATATAACCACTGTCAATACGTTAAAAGCACGTACAGGAACGTCTGTCGACTCTGTCTTCGTCTCCCGCTGTCGCATCTGGACCACACGCTCATTTACGACGGGCAACAAGAGACCCATCACCCGACGTAGGTTCTCCGAAGGACCGGTGATGAAGCGCGACACAAACCACTTCATACGCTCTGGAAAGAGGTTGATTACTATTCTAGCCTTGACTAAATCGATTGTGAAAGAAACGGCGGCGTCCAGGTATTGTTTATTCCGACCTCCAGGCCAACCTTTGTCAGCGATCAACACGAACGTTCGAAAGTCCGCAGCTCACATAGCGGTTGTCCAACGAAGGCACGGCTTATGATCCTAGAGACGATGTCGAGCACGGTTTTGCTGCCGGGGAGGGATGCAATGTCTGAAGTCGCAACATCAACCAGACGTTTACGGGGAAAATATCAGGAACTGACCCCCTTCCACTGTAGGTAGGAGCTCTCCGCAAACTACCTCGACCTCGTCGACTATCGCGGGCAGCACAGCATTCAACTGCCGCGTCAGAGTATTACGGATGAGGTCAACGTGATAATGGTCCGCCAAGACCTCTGGGTGCATGTATTTCCCAACCTGGGTGAGCTGACGAGACGAACCAATAGTCTGTCTACCACGGCAAATTAAGCTCATAGCAGTAGGCGACTCACGAAAAGGACTCCTTCTCCAGGAGAAGCAACGTCATCTGGTAATTTCCGGACGTCCTCCACAAGCTCGGGGCCGCTGAGTACAACTAACCATTGGTCGAACATGGCGACCTTAAAAGCAGAGCCACGATACTACGGGACATGATACGAGTCTCAGCCGTCAAACGTCACTAATACTCGGATATCTGGGTGCTTACTTTGTCATAGCCTGCCTGAATAAGCTCTTGCGCTCGGAAGAAGAACCTGTAGGATCCAAGGTACGACAGAAGTGGGAGAGAGGGACCGCCCACGGTCGGAATAGTATTCAACTGCGTGCCATGAGTGACGTCTCTTCTTGATAGGAGGAAAACATACCGGGTCGCGGTATCTATGCCATAGATACACCCCTAGAGGACACAAGAGGAGAATTAAGAGGGGCTGAACCATGACCGTTTCCTAGGGGTCAAGCTTGCGGTGAGAAGGGAGGGAAAGGACAAGAGCAACGTCTGCCCTCCCTATACGGCCACCGCTGGCAAACACACAAGGAACCGCGCGTTAGAGAAGCTGATGCATGCTGTCCGGGTCAGTGCTTGCGGCATCGCACTCAGATGGACAGTTTCGGAGCGCACGTTGTCGAAGGACTCGATATGCGCCCGCCACGACACCTGGTGGACGTAGGTGGGTGACTCCAGCGGCGATTTGGGCGCCGGTTCTGTATGCAGTTCATACATCCGAATTTGAAGGTCTGGATCAAGCTTGTCGCCAAACGTGGATTATGGGATTTCAAGAATTGTGATGGTGGACAGACGGGATGAAGGGCACCCTGGTGATGCGACCCTCGTAGTCGTCACCAACATGAATGAACCCTCAGACACACCTATTCCGAATTCAATGGCCGACACGCCTGAGATAGATGGCGCAAAGCGAACACAACGTCAGATGCGGTACCTGGCCGACTTCTTTCTTAGGAGGCAGAGACGCCCGTGGATTGTGTGAAACTGCTTTGGAACTCATCTTATGATACAAAGGCGGACGCACACATTACATGGCCACCGTAAATGCATATGATGTGGTGCATACTGAGCGAAATACATGCTGCATGAAGGGCCCTCTCCGAATGCTCGACGTATCCCGTCCATAAAGGCCATGCCAAGCCGGCATGAAGCGCATACCACTACTTCAGCTTCTTCTTACTTTAAGAAAAAGGGAAAACGTGAGCAAAGTGGGACGAATCATAGAGATAGCAATACCACGCACGGGCGAAGCTGAGACGAGTGGCCGCATCCCCGCTTGCGGCAGTTGGTCGCACGAGGGGGGAGACGAGCATAGCACTTTCGGCAGATTTGCTTGTCGCAGTTGTATTTTGACGCGAGGACCTTCAGCGAGGGCTCGATGATACCGCCACGGAGGCTTGAAGGCTCATGAATATTATATCATGAAGGTTGGACACGATCATAACTCACCGGAGCACAAGGTGCAGCGTCGACTCCTTCTGGATGTTGTAATCGCTGAGGGTACGGCCATCCTCAAGCTGCTTGCCAGCAAAGATCAGGCGCTGCTGGTCTGGGGGAATGCTAGACGAGGAGTTGAGTTATGGTTAGGCCGAAGTCATTCGCTCTTGGCACTTACCCCTCCTTGTCCTGGATCTTGGCCTTCACATTATCGATGGTGTCGGAAGACTCTACCTCGAGGGTGATGGTCTTCCCCGTAAGGGTCTTGACGAAGATCTGCATCTTCACGAACGGTCAACGTCGAGTATAGCGAGTTTGCGGTCTGGGACACTTACTGTAGGTGACTGAGCGGGTAGGACCCTGGGAATCGCCTGTACAGCTCCAGGTTCTGTGGCTGACTTCAGGGCAGGTCTAAAAAGGCGCTCACGTGATGCTTTCCTGTCTCGACGCGCGCGCGCTCGCGACTTGTGATGTTGAACTTGTCCTTGTGTTTGCTGCTAGTCCGTTTACACATGTATGCTTTCGTGTCTCACATGCGTTCGGGAACGGTTGTTGGTAGAAGTATACCTGAGTAGTAGAGTTGCCTCTCTCCCTGCGATACCATGGATGAGACTGTCATGACTATGGTTCATGCCCGTGACGCACCACATGCCGTGAGTCTTCCTCCCACTCACTTTCGCATTGAGATGAGAATCTTCAACTCAGCTCACTTCGATACGCCTACGTGTCATGAGAACACATATTGTTATACCCACTGACTCGTACTTGTCACGACTGCTGCTCAGCGGAATGGCTAACCATCTTGTTACAATAGACACGCCTCAGGACGGGTCAAGACTGACTCCTGGCCTCTATCTCCTTATGGTCAGTGCAAAATGGTCAGTATCAACTTGTCATGCTTTCTTGATCTCTCGCCCCTCACTTGATGAAATTATTCTGCAAAAATTCACGATGTGCTCCGGCACAATGAGTGCGATTCCTTCGGGAACCATTCAAGTCTCTGAAACTCAACTCGCTTGCTCTATTCCTGTTGTGCAAGTACTGATTACTGAATTTTCTAGGAACTCTTGTCCTTCTCCATTCAACTGTGTGTTCTGCTTTCAGTGCTGTAAGGTCAGTAGCCTGGGAATGTTTGTCGCATATGTATTGTCAGTTGGGATACTTTGTAATTACCGCTTTTATCGATCGGAGTACGTGAATTGTATTGCTGCTGATGACCTCGGCTCGTGAGCAATCAAGAAACCAGAGTGAGCAAACGGGGACAATGGCATATAGTGCTCCGAACACAGTGTCCGGGTGGCGCAGGTCGGGGGAGTTGTGTTGACAAGATGGGTTGCGTCTGCCGGTGATGATCTCGAGGCGGCGAAGCTTCTGGGCAAACGCTGAACGGCGGCGACCCTGGCCATCGTCCGGAACGCTTGCTAGCGTGCCTCTGCCAGCGCATGACAATTCCGGACTGCTCTGGCGGCCTGCCACCGTAGTAAACCACCAGGTCGGCCGTAGAGCAACTTGCGCTTCCTTCACCCCCTCCAACATCCGTCCAGTACTGCTATCTGTGATCAGCCCACGGCAGGCACGTCATTAATTGGGGGCAGGCTTGGCGCTGTCACAATGTCCAACTTCACGCTCGTAGACCCGAAGGGATGGGACTGCGACCTACAATCAGTGTGTCTCGCTCTCATCTACTGCCAAGACATTTCACCCACATGGCATGGCTGACTGCAGGTGTATTCGGCGTATATGGGCCATTTTCAGCTGCATAACATACCATGGTCAGCACTTGAAGCGTTATTTTCAGTGTATACGATAGTTCAAACATATTACATAGGTATGACCGTTCGTGGGGCATCTTCTTCGAGTCTTTCGAAGAGTTCCTCACCTTCTCATGGCCAACGATCACTGTGACCGACGCTTGGACCGGCCGGGCACATATCGTGGTCCGCATCTCTGCCGTCGGTGCTTTTCTTAAGATGCTCAAGACGAGGTATGGTGTCTTCAAAGGAGACGTCGACGACTGAAACTAGCTCACGGTTCATCTCCGTAGGTTTGGTGAAACACTGCCCATGGTCGAGAACATCCTTCGAATAACGCCTTTCGAGACCTCGCAACGACACATGCGCACAATCTCCGAGTATGCGACGTACAAGAAGGTCTTCCAAACTCTCCCTGCGGTTCTCCTGGCAGCACAGAAAGTCCGGGTTCGGAACGGCGAACCCAAGGCCGTCCGCGAGCTGTGGGCTTCCAAGGACAAAACTTTCCTGGCTCTAGACTTCGAATGGTCTGAACGCAATACTGCGTCGTGCATAGAATGGGGCTACGCTGCCGTACGCTGCGGTCACCTGGACACGTCAGTACCAAGTATCAGTTGACCTTTGTACCACGCTGAGACGGCGCGTATGTTCTCGTTCCAACAGAGCGGGAGCGTGGCCCCCTGATCCCGAACCAAACTACAGGTGAGTGGGTACCCTCTCGCAGGGTCCTGATCACTTCCCCACGCGTGATGCGTCGGGCTGACGGAACGCCGTCCTAGACGTGGGCACTATATTGTCTCGGAGTATGCGGACAAGGTCCACAACAAGATGAAGCCGAGCTTCCCGTGGGCGGTAAGTGTTCCCTGTCACACGATTCTGTGTAGAACCCCGTTCTCATTTCGCTCCTTCCTAGTACGCGGTATGCAGTCGTTCGGCGTGTTGCCAGCTTCTCGCGCTCGGTTCCTGGAATCTGACGAGACTACCATACAGTTCGGCGAAAGCCAGGTCATCTCGAAGGCCAAACTTCTTCAGATAATCCAGGCCATCGTCAGGTAACTCAACCTCGGAATCACCGCTCAGTAACTCGCCATCTGAAATTCTGTTCTACCTACAGCAGTCTGATCAGCCCCGATTCGGAGACAATAACCAACGTTCTGGTGTTGGTCACGCACGGAACAACAGGCGACCTGCGTCGCTTAGAAGAGATGAAGATCAGTACGTTCGCAGCTCGTCTTCTCCTGCACCCCATCGCGCCCACCCACGCGCCGACCGCGGGTCCCAGTCGAACTGAATACATTGTCACACAGAACTCCCGCACAACCTCCTCGTCCTTGACACGATGGCGTTCGAGCGGCAGCTCTACGCGGCCGGCCTGCGTGGTGCGATGCAGGAAGCCTCCGGGCGTCCCCGCGACCAGGGGTCCAGCCTCTCGCTCAACGCGATGCTCCAATCTCTCGGCGTCGACATTCACCGCGTGCTTCACAACGCCGGCAACGCAGCATTCATGACGCTCCTCGGCCTCCAGCTTCTCTTCGATCCTGACACGAAGGTGCCGACGCCCAAGACCCCCAACGGCATGGCTGCCATGGCACGAAGCTCGAAGGGGTCCCCGTCCGTGCCTCCAGCGATCGCGTTTGTGCCGCCCCCGGCGGTAGCGTTTCCGCCGATGGGAATGATACCCCCTGTTACGTTTCCTGGTATGAGGCTCTCGCCCGATGTGTACGCCGACATGGCTGGGAACCGTGCGTCCTACTTCCCGGCGCAGCGGACCATCAGCGACTTCCGCGACAACCGGCCCTCGTCTGCATCTGGTAGTCCCGGGAGGCTCCCCGGCCGGCAGCGCGTGAACTCGACGAATGCCGTCAATGAGCTGGGGGAGAAGATGAACACGATGCATGTCAAGGCCCGGACGACGGATCCTGGGACCCCTCCACACTCTCGGTAAATCCCCTCTCACAAAACACCCACAGAGAACCGCGTTTGCACCCGCGCATATCCACATTCTGTGCATGCGTCATTCTACATGCACTCTGTATTCGGACTGTACGGACTTCGGCCTGACACAAGATCTTGGGACTTTGTACGCGCGCATGTAACGAGACTGTCACGTTTTTCTTCCATCGATAACCCTCGGACGATAGCGAATATATAATTCTCCTATGTACAACGCCCTACACGACGGTATAGTTTTCCACGGCGATAGTCGCGTCCTCCGAAAACACGACGTCGCCGCCATCGACACGTGCCACTGATGCAACCTTAACCCCCGCAATGCTGCCCTGGCCAACAAACGACACCCTAACCGGGAAGAAGACACCGGCGTCGTCCCCGCCGACCGAGAACTCGAGAGACCCAGACTTTTCTTCCGCATTGATAAGCGGGATGTTCCAGTCGAGCGAGTGGCTCGAAGAGTTTAGTGCCCAATCCCCCGTATGGGAGGAGACTGTGGGATACGACCCGTCACTAGACATAAGTCAGATGTGTATACAAACACGAACAGCTGGACAGCATGTTACGCACGGTAGTGGGATTGAGATCACCACGTCATGCAAAGTGACGCCCTCGTTCTCGAGCTCGTACTCAATGTTTACGTCGCAAGTGCCATCGTTGGACGGTGTCGGCCAGCAATTGACTGCAATACGAAAGAGGCCGTAGAAGTCAGCATTCCAGGCCCGGACAAAGCAACTCTCACGATCGGTGAGCGGCAGAAGACTGTCTGGTAAACTCACTCGACATAGGCACATAGGTCTCGTCTTTTCCGGCGTATCTCCACTTGAGTACCGCAAGGGGCTGGCCAATCGGGAACGAGCGCGAAGGATCCTTGAGCGCAACGACACGGTCCCTGTTCGCTACGAACTTGCCAACGTTCGGATGTTGCTTGAACTGAAGCTCTGGTCCGAAGCTCGCAGGGGCAGGGGCGAGGCTCAGCTTGACGCGGCCCAGGTCCGCATCAGAGATCTGCAGGTTCATGTCCCCGCGAAGCTCTAGGTTGTTGAGACCGCCTTCGCGCACGAGTTCCAGGTTGAGGTACTCTTTGATAACGACGTGAACGCTGTGCGCATGGTTCATCAGACGAAATGAAAGCCCTGATGCCGGGGACACATGGTTTTACCTCTCGGCCTCCACAGGGGGCAAGCTTCCACGCTCATTCTTATGTGCAGCAACAGGTTCTGGAGTGTTCGAGACGGCGGGGGTAGCGGGTGCGGACATGTCTTCAGACAGGAGCGCTTCTCCACCGAGGGCATCCAAAAGGGCCGACTGCTGCGACTTCTTGGCACCAAGCTTCATACCGCTCCCCTTGAATGCCGGCGCGCGTAAGCTGGACGGCGCGGGTGATGCCGTACGTTGAGGCGTGGGGGCGTTGAACTCGCGTTGAGGTACCGCAGAGTAGCCAGAAATCCCGCCACCTAGGTAGCTTCCACCGGACGGACCACCGGCAGCGGCACGCCTCTGCTGCTCGCGACGCTGCATCTCCAGCTGCTTGGCGCGGCGCTTTAGCTCCTCCTTTGCTTCCGCCTCCTTGTTCTATTACCGCAGTGAAAGGTTAGAGGGGGGATAGTAGCTTGCGGAATGAGGGTAAGGACGCACCCGAGCAATGATATCCTGGATCTTCTCCTCGTGACTCTCCATCTCCAGCACATTGCGCACCTGCATGAGGTTGACCTGCTCCCTGTATCCCAGGCTCACAATCTCATCAAATGCGCTCAACAGCTCGAATGCGTTTTTCAAAATCTCGCGCTGCTCCGCGCTCCTGCACATGTCTGATACGACGCGCGCGAAGAGGTGGAGTGTCTCGATATCTTGCAGAATGTTTGACGCTTTGTTCGTGATGAGGAGGATGTACAGGTCCTCCAGCGGTTGATATACATAACGAACATCAGAGGTTTCAACGGATGTGTGTTGCGTTCCGGTGGGAATAAGTTTCGGGAAGGAAGCGAGGAGGGACTCTATCCTCGCTCTCGACATATCGCGGAATTGACGAGATATTACGGCTGGAGACGGTCTCCATAAGTCTATCAGAGTAGGCTGTCATGAGAGACATACCCTTGCCGCCCTTTGTACATATCGACGCTGCGAGGACAACCTGGCCGAGATGTTATAATTGAGCGTTCTCCTGCTAGCTCGAGATGTTGCCTACCATGGCGGATCCAAGCGCACGACCTGCCTATAATCCTGTCGTCTTCGTCAAGCAGAGGGTCCCGTAGACACGGCGTGAGGTCGTAAAAGATGGTCGTGCAGACGATCTGAGTTGGAGAAGGTACAGGCGTTCGATGAGCTTGCCGAGTCCGGAGACGCGACGTGTCGACACAGACGGGCGTCTAATGTTGCCCGCATAGCGTCCACCAACCACAAATGAGAGTGATTGGTTGCCGACATGGAGCCCTCAGGCTGATGTTTGGCGAATGCAGAGTCTCCCTGAGAGACATATGTGCATACTCGTCGGGCTCAAAGACGGGCGTGATATGGATGTGATTTACATCAAGCATGTAGGACTACATAGCGGCCCCGACGAACGCGGGCCAGACATTGTTCATACATTGTTGCATGACGGCTTCAGCTGCCCTTGGATAATCCCTCCGACTACAACAGCAACTCTTCAGATGAATGTCGGATTGAATCGGACGGACGTATCAAGAGAAGCACGCCCGTAAGTCGTCTGGGGCGCAAAGTATATTATTCCCTGGCACAAAATTTAAGCGGAGCATACGCACCCATGGGGTTGGTTTATTCTCGAGAATATGCTCAATCTTCTCCAGGACCTCTGGTGTCAGCTTGGGAATGACATCTAGCGCCTTCAGGTTGTCGACGATCTGTTCTGGCTTCGAGGCCCCAAGTATAACCGTACTCGTGTTCGGGTTGACCGCCAGCCACGCCAGCGCGAGGTGCTGCACACCACATCCGAGTTCTGATGGAGGCGGTGACAGGTGGCGCCGAGACGAATGCGATATCCATCAGCATGCGAACCGTCACGACGTGCGGCCAGGGTCGAGAAAAAAGCCTCCCTACCCCTGGACGGCTTCTTACCTTTCTCAGCGAACTCGCTCAACTGCTTCACCTTCTCGATTTCCCTCTGGCCTTCCTCGCTCTGGAGCTTCTCCAGTCGCGTCTTAAAGAAGTCCGCGTGGACGGCGAAGCGGGAGTCCGAGGGGATGCCGTTGTTGTACTGAAGTGCAGCCGAGCCCAGTCATACCGACCATGAGCGCACACACACGCAGACCATACAGAACCCCGTAAGGGAAAGCGAGGCTGTTGAACAAGCTTGTCGTGGGCGTGGAAATAAACTACATTCACGCACCTTGCCAGTCAGGAGGCCCCTGGCGAGGCCCGACCACACGGTCGTTCCGATCGAATAGTTCTTGTACAGGGGCCTGCATGAGTGACGAGTGGAACCCACGGCGCATGTGCACGAAGGTTCAGCGTTCAAGGCCCGCAGAACGATAACTTTGAACCAAGTGGCACTCACGCGTATTCCTTCTCTGGACGCTCGCGGTGGAACATGCTGAGGGAACGTCGTGTCAGACGGAGCGAGGACGATCCGGTAATGCACCGGGACGATGATGGACGCACTTGTGTTGACATTGCTCGGCGATAGGAGCAATCAGACCCAGCTTCGAGGCGACGTCTGGGAAGTCCAGGTTCGAGAAGACATGTGAAGGGAACCGTCAGCATGAGCAACCAGGGTCCAGTCGGACGACACACGCACGGTACGCTTCTTCGATCTCGTGCGCAGACCATTCGGACGTTGCCCAGTAGAAGGCCTGCACCGCGAGCGCACGAGACAATGTGTGCATGTGAGTTAAGGAATCGGGCGGCGACAACACTGCTCCCGCGAACCGCAGGAACCATGAACCCCGTCGCCGTGAGGCATGGGAAATGTGGTTCGAGAAGCTACGCAGTAGAAGGCGAATTTTTTCAAGTGAATGAGGGAACGTACCCAGCCTTGGTCGATGACGAAGTTGAACGCGCGAACAATTTCCTCCATTGGCACTGCGATATGCCGCAGTGGGCAGCATGAGCAACATGAGGCAGGAACAGCAACAATGACCACGTAATCTGAAGAGCTAACTCACCGCTGTGGTCAGGGCGATGCGCGAATATCACGTCCACGTAGTCGAGCTGCAGCCGTTCAAGACACTTCTTAGTCCCTTCGATGATGCTGCACCCCGCGCCGGCGGAGATAGAAGCATTCAGCTCGCGGCATGATCGGGAGCCAATTCGAAGGGTGGAGGACGCTACTTACTGTTTCCTGGAGAGACCAGTGTCGTTCGGGCCCTTACCGCCCCAGAAAATCTTCGTTGACACTATGATATCGGTTCGCTTCACATCGAGTTCTTTGAATACGCGACCCCTAGCGGCGTGAATAGATCATTACGGTCAGGCCCTATGATCTTGAGAGGAAACGGGGAACCACTCTACATTTCAAGTTCCGCCTTTCCCTCCGCATATCCTTCGGCGGTATCGAACCTATCGGAAGGTCACGTCAAACTGCCACATCTCGACAACAAGTGACGTTTGATCCGTACATGTTGATACCATGTTCGAGGGCAGTCTTGATGCATTCCTACATCCCATTTTGTATGGTTAGGACAGGCACTTTTATATACGAAGACCGTTTGATCGATCTAGAGGTTCCACCGAGCAACACATACCTTCACTGGATCACCTACCACAGTGGCACCGTAGGTCAACCCTGTGCATCCACAGCCCCGAAGTTCAGCCTCGTGTTGCTTCAGCGGGAGAGGTGGGCGACCCCCTGGCAACGTGGCAGTTGTCACGTACAAGCTCCCAAGGAGAACAAAGGCACGCGAAGTCCGCTCGGACCCAATCTCCTGAATGGCATCCCCTTGGTTTCGTATACGAAAGACATCTGGGATCGGAAGTTGAGGATGTCAACAATCTGTGATTCAGATGTCCTGAACCTTGAGTGGACGCGGCTCCTTCACGGAAGGCAAATGAACTTGCAATTGCAGGTGTAGGTCAAGGTGCAGATGGCGATGGCGTCGGCGTCGATTGCGCGGGCAACTGAAGCATTCAGCCGCGCCGTTCTGATGGGCTGCTGAGTTTTATACCCGCGGTGAGCTCAACGATAGGACGATTCGCGGGACTCCGTGGTCGGGAAATCCCTTCTGGTAATAGACACATAAGCCTGTGTATCCGGCCCGGATGGTCTGATAGCGGCGTCGACTACCGGCTCATGCTTCTTAAGGTCAGATTCCATTGCTTATACCGCAACAATGCCAATATTGTGAAACATCTGGCGGCCACTAAGCTCACGCAAAAGGCCGAACAAACCACTCATATCTCGAACAGAGAGACCCCATGGTTGGAGTCACATTTGAGCGCGTCTACGCATCCTTCGATGGTGATAATGTCATCGAGAAGAACAACATGGAGCTGCTGACCGGGAAGGTCAGCTTCACAATTACCTCCCAGGAGATTCATAACGTGCATGGAGAGCCCAGAACGTCAGAAACTGCCTGATTGTCAGTGTCGCCGCCTGTGAGGATTCAAGAAGAACACAAAAGGCAGTGACGGGAGAGCGGAATGACATCGAAGATTGGAAGTAGGCACGAAGATGATAACGACCAGTGCCAATGAGACGAACGAGAGACTGTGGTTAGTGAGATTAATTTACGTACAATATGAGAAGAAGTTGGAGCACACACACGAAGTCATACAACGGCGAATGACCTAGCTCCAATCCATCTTGACGGTTTCTTCGCGTCGCAAACGTCAAGCAGCGTGCGTGGAGGAAGTCACGATGGACGTCGTGGTCGGGGGAACGTCCAGGGTCGGCATTAACTTGTCGCTTCGAACCACTTCCGTCACTTGGTTCAGTTTGGTAGGAGGCGTGGGAGACAGTCCTGCCTAAAACAGACGAGTGCGCCTCCAGTTGCTCGACTGCCGAAGCGAGGTCTCCACTATCGCCTTTGTAACAGCACGTCGTTGAATACTGCCCATGCGCCTGCAACTTCTCTCCTTACTTGTGCTGCCCTTTCTGGCTTCAGCGTCCACCGACGAACAAATGGTACTCCCCGGCGCTGACAAGGAACCCTTTGTCCCGGTCGTGAATTCCGGGAAGCCGTCACTCGCGGACTTGCTCACCATTGAGCCGTCCGCGTCAATCTTCTACTCATACGCCCGGGAACTCGAGCTTAGCCAGCTCCTCAGCAATCCGAATGCTCAGAATACCCTCCTCGTCCCGACGAACAAGGCTGTGATTGCCCTTCCTCGGAAGCCGTATGTACCCCAACCTCATGTCCTGCAGTGCAATCGTATTCTCAACATACTTTGCGCTTCCCCTTCCCTATGACATAGTCACGAAGATCCTAAGCCGCTGGACGATGGCGTCATTCTCTCAGAGGCAGAGTTCGATACCATTTCAAAGCAGAACGTTGAGCGTTGGGTGTCAGCGCATATCATTCCCGTAAGTCTTTATCTTACCCGCCTTCGTCCGAAGGCTTCTTAGCCGCCAGCCATCCACATTGCTGACGGAGCGCTGGGCGTGTGCTACCTCTTTCAGCAGTCGCCGATATCACTGACGTCGGACGGCGAGTTCGAGACCCTGCTATCGGGAAGGAACGTCACCTTTACGGTTGTTGATGGAGACTCGGACGCGCCGGAATGGAGGCGCGCTCTGCTCGACGGCTCCGTGCATCTAACGGATATGAAAGAGGTGAGTATTTCTGCCCCGATTGTCGCCCTGGTGTAACACCGGGGCCGACGGTCTTAGTAGGCCATTGCTTATGACGGATGGTTCTCCCGTGCAGGCGTCCAATGGGGTGATGTACATCCTCGATGGCACAGTCACGGTTGACTAGGACCCTTCTGTAGGACCCTGACCTTGTTTTCTCACTGTTCTCCTTGTGCACCACTGCTTCTCTGTATTACTAGCATCACAATTTAACGTGGTTGGCCATATTCAACTGGGACGACTGCTGACCATCTACTGCGCACCGCGGTTGTCTGTCTCCGGCTTAAGCTTCTCCTGGCATCTCATCAAACCCAGCCACCGATAGGGGTAGGTAGCGCTGGTCGTGCTTCCGAAGGTTACGTTCTGCTCAAACGTTCTCCAAATTATTGACGTCCACGCCCGTTGTTGTGGGACTTTCGACGGACGGAACGGCTCCCCCTCCAGTCACAGGCGCATCGGACATGATCTACATGTGTGCTTGACCAGGGCGCCGGGGGCGCGCTCGCGAGAGTGCTTCTATGCAAACACGCTAGGTCCCTCGCCGCTTGTTTGAAGTCCGGTGTTTGCGGGTAATATGAGTTTGCATGCGGTGGCAGGACGAGTCAGGGACGCCCGATCTTGATTCGTCTCGTATGTATCATGTATCTGCATGTCCTTTGTCCGCGTACTCACACCCTGTCACAAGGTCAATTTGTCAACTGCGACATCGTCTCAGTCCATGGCCACAGACCGCATTCGGCTACCGTTAGACTGCTACATGCGTGTTTATAGGGCTACTGGTCTACGACCCTGAGCCAGGGGTAAGCAAGGCCCAGATACGACCATTGTGCTTCTGTTTACTTCTCATATCTCAGGGTCGGTCGTACGATGATCAGCAGGGCATTGGCATAAAACAAGTCGGCCATCTGGGCGACGCAAGTCGGTAGGTACCGAATGACTAGTGACTGCATATAGTACTAAACACGCCGTGCGATCCCGCGTCCAATCCGGTTCCCCGCTCGACCATGTTTGTGTTCGTGCCTTGCAATCCAATATCAGCTCTCGTTCGCCTGCTATCCGCCTTTGGGTGAATTTTCGTTCATATGTACGTACGTGTGAGCGAGATATCGTAACATGCGCTCATAAGTGGACAGTATGCATCCAGGAGTTCGTTGCCACTATGCCATGCGCAATACTGCCGACGTCCAACTGATGAGATGCTAGTGATAGCGCTGTACGATGCGAATTTTGCATGACATGGCATCGAAGCCAGTTACTTCGGCAGGCGCCACTACCCCCGCGGGAGAGATAGGCACGCAGAGGTTATCTTTTCCTCGGACGCGCGGGGCCATCTGGCATGATAGTGAAGTTTGCCTTGCATCTGTCGTAGACGGTATCTGCATACAGAATGGCGTAGGTACCCTGAACCTTGTTTCCGGTTCCGAGAGTTTGAGAGGCATTAAAATGAATGGGATTGCGTACGAGAAAGATCCTTCAGAATTGTAACCTTCAGCAAATATAAGTATTTCCACAAAGGCAAACTGCAGGGGCAACATTGGTACATGTGGACGACATCGGACTATGTACATAGACGCCGGCGGCGTCTCGCGCGCAGATCGCTTCCTGGGCTATCCAACGCTCTCGAGCTCCATACTCCACTCATCGCGAACCATCCTCGAATTACCTCTTGTACTGCCTGGATTGCCTATGAGGGAAGATCTGCGCGCTCAATTTTCGCCGTATGAACGCGCTACTACTCAGGCGGCCTAGGCAGTGATCGTCTATCGCTTCCTGGATGATGGTGACGTGAAGCTCGGTCAGCGCATGGCGTCGTGACCGTCTGCCTCTTGTCAAGCAACAGCGACGTGGGCCTGGGTCATCTCAGAGGACGCAAGATGCCCGGACAGAAACGAAGGATCAACGAGCTGACGGCCGTGGAGATCGACCCAATAGTGCAGTCGCTCGTACCTTTCGTCGCGGGGCTTGACCGGGACGATGAAAGCACTGCCGGAGTGGTCGAGGCGATCGAAAGCTTGTTCTCCAAACTTAAACGAGGCTCGGTGCGTGAATGATCCACATCCAATACCACGACGCCTTCTGGTCGATGTGCTTCCTGTACGGCCTATTTACGTGATTTGCACGAATCGCAGCGCGCACCCTCAATTGCTACCGTGTTGGATCTGCAGGAGCTGCGGATTTACCCCTACGGACTGGAATTCAAAGAGGATGCCGCGAAGGGCCTGGCACGCCAGCGAGGCGCGGAAGAAGTGGACAACAACTTCCTAACTTTGGCTAACACGAAAGCACTGTTCAGACTCGTGCGTAAGCACATGTCGACTGCGGTACGTCTACGCTCGGCTTTCGGGGACCGCTTCACGCGGATGCGGACAATGCAAGGGCTAACATATTTACCTCTCATGTCCATGGGCCCATCGCCAATGCAGTCACTTGCTGGATCCCGGATGCTAATCGATGTCATATTCCTGCGACTGGCGTCCGTACTGAGCACCGATCAAGACAGCCTCTCAATCGTCTCAGACTGGACAGCCCTCAACACATCCCTTGATAGCAGGCATTCGCTCCAAGGCGTGATAGACTATCTCATCGCGAAGCGCCCCTCCAAGTACTCTGGTAGGATTACCCAGGTTGCTTGATTCGACTAGTGCTTACCTGCGAGCACGTTGCGGTTTCCAGGTCTCGTGTTGTCGGACCCGGTCGGGGCGCTCAATAGGCCGGACCTAGTTCACACCGGATCTTCGAACATCTACGAGGCTCGCACGTCTTCTGAGCTCCAGTCTGGACTAACGCAGGCGGTCATGGCATCAGCGGCGTCCTGTCGTGAAACGCAGTACGTCTCTCGATCACAATGGCAGACAGACATTCGCAGTTACGCTTACATGTGGTCGCAGCAAAGAGTGTGCGAGGGGTGCCGTCACGTGTGGTGATCGTTGGATATTCTTCGCATACCAAGCGCCTAAAGGAGGCGATTATGCCAAGTACGCTCGGACTGAGGTGCTAGATATTGGCAAGGACGCTGAGAACCTGGATCTGATCCTTGGTATTCTGGTTGATTGGGTACGTTGTTTACACCCATCGGAAAACCTGTACGGTCTCACAAAAGTCTTCGCAGATCGAGAACTCAGAAGTGTTTGGACCTCAGAAATACTTCTACATCATCTAGGGTCGACTATATTTGGATGACTACGGGAATGTCACATATCGCAATAGCTAGCAACAGCCTTAATATACCCTGGTAAGTCTCGTTCCGTCAATGCGAGTTGGTCGTAGGCTGAGAGTGCCTGAGATCGCATGTCCTTGTACGTTGGATGATGTCCAGATCGTGTCCAGATTGGTACGCATGTGGCAACGCAAGGCGGGCGAAGGACGAGAAGATGTACTAGTGCGGGGAAGACGCTCCTAATTGCCTGACGTCATCTGCGAGCTTACCACGGACCCGAAAGGAGACCGACGATCGTTTGTTGGTCTACCAGTCCTCTCCCTTCAGACTATCGCGGCCTGTGACGGTAGGCAGAGGGGGCCATACCGCGATGCCTTCGCAAGGCTTCGATCACCGCCATCTCCGCCGCTTCTCGATTACAGGAACAGCTGCACAGGTTGGAATTCGTTCGCGTATGCGGATCAGACCACGGTCCCTGTTCACATCGTATCTTGAGGCTGATAACCATTCTTTGAACGTGGTCTCGCGACTTGACAGCCACAGCACGCTGTACCAATGAGGCCCGCTGCCAAATAATATGAAATCTTCGTTACGCTACTATCAAGGCCCCGGAACGCAGTCTGGCACGACATCTTCACCCCGCTCCACCTCCGCTCTCACAGTCCCTCCTTCGACTGCTCCCTTGGTATTTATTCTTGCCTTCGCTGGCGATAAATCTTAGATTGCGAGAACAACGATCCTCCGACGAAGCGCATTCTCCTATTTTTTTCTCATCGACTCAGCGGTGGGGACGGGGAACCCTTTGTGGCGGACGAACTAACGCAAACGAGCCATGCTGACGAGAGATCAGAACAGTGACAATTCGGTGCGCCACGGTCAGGCAGCATCATGGATATTCGGTCATGGGAGTGTCGCCTCCGTCCAATCGCGGCCGGCGACGTGTGCCAGACTTACAAGGTTCGTCAATGCCCCCTCATCTAAACATCTGAGCAGTTTGACAAGTTTACACGGCGGAAAGCAGCGGGTCAACACCAGCCATTGCAGGCGTGGGAGATGTCATCTGAGCCTTCTAGTAAGTAGCTTGCTATCGTGGACCAGCATGCCTCAGGCGCACAGATAATGCGACAGCCAATGAGGATTCAACAAGCATCACAGCCGTCTCCAGGGGTTACGCTTCCTTGAACATTCGCGCAGCGCTTCTTGCGTTCTTCTCATCTTCACTCTATACCAAGGTTTTCGTGATCATTCTGCATATCACCTCTTGAGGTGTATGAGGTCTGTGAACCGCGGACTGAGACCTGTTCTATTCGTGATTCCAACTTCCGCTGTATTGCGCTTAGTTTGGGCGCACGACGCCCTAGAGTCCTTTGTGTCCATATAGGGGTACTCATCCCCGCCAAATGGGCAGCACCCAGGATGCCATCCTGCTTAGCGCGCCGCCCGTTGGGCGTTATGTGGGAGTAGTATCGGCGTCAAGGGCGGCCGGGCGGCCTGCTTACTACCTAATCTGCATCTTCGCCCCAGATCTCATTTCATGACCGAAAAGTCATCCGCACGCCAAACGAACCACTCGTGCGTCATATAACTCATGCTTCTATGTGGCAGGGTCCTGTAGGGTCCCGACCCTTAGTGCCCCCCGACTTCCCTGAACACGTCGAGGTTCTCGACTTTCAGCGCGCTAGAACCCCGTATCGTCATGACTCTAACAGCCGTACGGACATGAGGCTTTGCTTCCGCTGCACCCGGTCCAATCCTACAACGGGCTCCGGTTTCCAATTGCGTCTGGTCTGAAGCCTGACATCAGCTGGCGAGGGCAATTGCGCCTCCCATCTCATCTAATGACATCTCAATTTGCGCGTGCACTGTTGAGTTTGCCAACTCAGCAATCGCGTGCTTGCTATGACCACGCCTAACCCCTTTGAGGGGACAACAGCGTTTGTCACTGATTGCAGCAGCGAGCTGGAGTCCCTGTATCCCCTTCCTTGGACGAATGTTCTCAGGCGAGCTGCGCGCTGTGCGCAACCGAAGCACTATGGACTTTGTGCGGGTGGCTCCCTACTTACTCTCTCGACAGGCCACAACGCGACGACAGGAAAACGAATGAGGACATTGCAGACTCGTCTCTGGTGGGTGAGGGGCCATGCGAAAAGACTCGTTTGTGCTTCGACTCCTCTCTGTGGCGCCCCTACAACATACAGCTGACGACGTCGAGCGCAGACGCGGAACAATATGCGGTGCGATGCCCGGTCCGTAAGACGCCTTATGTTCTCTAACAAGAAGGAAACGCTCAATGTGACATGGCGGGATCTGTATGTTCTGTGCTTGTGAAGATGATCCTGGGAATGATCACAGCTTCCGAAGCAGATCGGAGGTGTTGTCGTGCCGCTCCTACTCACCCTAGCTCCATCCCGTGATGTGTCTGCGCCCCAGACCTGTTCGAGAATCGAAATGAAGAGGTGCGTGTGCCATGTAATATCCTCCCTTCTGTCGGCTATAGCAGACGAGAGATGACTATCTGATATTCTCCTGATATTAGAAAGTGGCATTGCTACTTCGGCGAAACTGACATAGAATCCTGCGCGTCTCGGCTCGACTAACCCCGCACTTGCCGCCTTATGTCATTAAATCGCAAACTGCGGCCGGGATATTGACGTCCAGGCACCAGAATGGATCATTGTCCTCGGAAGCATATCAGCGAGCCGCCGGGCCTTCATGTCCCTGAGGGCAAGTGTTGGTGACAACAGCGTGAGACGGCCGCGAAAAGCGCATGACTGAGCGATGCGCATTGCGTAGGCCCGCCGCCATGCCGCTCGAAGTCAACCTCAGAGTTTATCGATGACTACATAGATGCCAGAAGATGCGGACGACGTAGCCGTGGCAGCACACACGCCACCGCTGCGTATAAGTACGTGTATCACTAACCTCCGCGGTGGATAATATGACGACGCATGACGAGCACTGTGAAAGCCTAGGGTTTCTGGGCAACGCATCTCCCTGTTGGCAGACGCACGTTCCTCCTCTGTCAAGATTGTGGCTCGTCGATACATGCAATGCGCAAGCAGTTTGACATCATGACTAACGTGGCACTCGGCTTGACTTGCGTTCGAACCCCTAAAGTGCCCGTGAGAAGCGGAAGAAGGACAGGGAGCCCCCTTCGTATATGTACACGATTTGAGGTGCGTGTCGCTTGTCTTGCGCGTGTCATATTCTCCATATGTCGAGAGATGTATGTCGTGACGCACGAGAGTGTGCGCGTATGTGATTACAAGTACTGATAACAAGCTCGAAGGCAGAGGCCCTGAGAACACCTGCGGAGTTGCGCCGGAATGTGTTGCGTTGCTGCCAGGAAAGGCAGGAACTAATACCGCTAGGCTGTTGACTTTCCCGCGATTCCGTCAATTCACGCTTCTGCCGCCTAAGCGACGAGAGGTCCTGTGCCTCTCTCTCCTCATCCGGCCTCATAAAGAGACGATATCGGCAACTCCCTCAGCCACCACTCGCACAGGCCAGTGTCCGTGGCCTCTGCAGACCCTGTGATGGTCCTCGGCGCCCTTTCATATGATGTGCACGACGCACTTCTCCAACCAGCTTCTTCCGATGTCTTGATCGTTCTGCTGCTGCTTCTGAATCGAATTTGTCAGACCCCTTCTGGGCCTTCTGAGAAGCCCCAAGATCCTGAAGATGGAGCACCGTGTACACGGAGAGGGTAAGCACAAGCACATCCGCTACTTCCCGGCAGCCATACCCCCTTCATTCGCTGCGGCGGCCTATGTTCGAAGTTCCAGAACGTTTTCTGAAGTGCGTCTTCTTCCTCTCGTCCTCTCTGGTGTTCCTGCACGTTCTATGCATGATGGGCTTCCACTTCCTTTATTCCGCTTTCCACACGGTGTGGGAGGTGTCACAAGGAGCGTTGGTAGATCTCCTCGTCCCATCATATCCAATCTATCATCCGGTGCGTTGCGTGGCCGCTCTCTTCACGCATGGGTGCGGTACGGGTGACCTACTACTGACTTTCGACAGCCAGCCGAACGACCTGTGTCCGCTGGCGGCTGGGAATGATTACGGATGCGTTCCCGCGCATAGTTTTGTAGGCTGTGACGGGGTGATATGCCCTGTTATCACCGTAGGATTAGTAGCCATTGGGTCAAGCGTTTGTCACCTGATACGTGCGACTTGTAAAACCTCATCCATAATTTCGCCAAAGAGGTTGCAGCTGAGATGAGTGGAGACGAGAAGATGCGAAGCGCGCATTTGAGGGAACGCGTGCCCACCGGACGTCGATATGGGACGCTGCGTAGACTGACACGTATGAGAGCCGGTATAAGATGAGGTAAGTAAGCGTCTCAATCGTGCCAGAGAGAGCTAAACATATCCAGCATCGAACAAAAATAAGTACAGGTCCGGGCATGATAAGAACAGAACATCCTTACTGCCAACGATTCCCAAAGTTGATCACTCATCAGTGAGCTTTCCACATTGATACCGGGCAAGCGCGATAGATGAGGTATGTGTGCCCTGAGGTCACCAAGGAGGTCGGTCTGATGCTGCACGGTGGACGGAAGAGAAGAAAGACGGGAGCTTTGCTGTCGGCAGCTTGATCAGCTGCCTCCAGCCCCGCCGATCAGGGTCAGATTTCCCGAAACGGTCTAGCGTCTCGATCGTCCGTGAGCTGGCGCCTGTGAAACTGCGGTCCGAAGCCGACGCCTGCGCGAGGGGCTGGTGTGGCTTGAACCGGCGACATGAGTGCCACAACTTGAAACCAACGTGCCTCACTTGGCACCCGACGAGGCCGCCGTAAAATTGGCGGAACCTGGTGCGGGAAAGGTCAGTCAGCTCGCTCATGGAGAACGTACGAGAACGTTTGTTTACATACCGTACCGGCCTGCCTTCCGAACATCTAAATCCGCAAACCCGGGTCAAGTGCGGGAACAGAAGAGACGGCATTGACACGGGCGTGCCGGTGTTCTATGGAATCGTAGCCACGGGCATACGTTGTCCGTCAGCGCAGTGGCACAGCTGTCACCGTGTGTATCCGCCGCTGGACAATGGACCCTGAACAGGGATTCTAACATATCGGCTGAGATGATTCCGCATCCCGGGCTTGTGGCCTGAGAGAGAGCACTCGCCGCGCTTGGAGCGGCTCGAGTCCTGCATTGTTGAATATTCCACTCTGTTGGGTTTAAACGTACAGAGGAGTCAGGCCGGTGCGCTCCTTGAGCGTGTACAAGGGGGCCGAGCGCTGTTCATTCGGCCTGCCAGGGGCACCAGGAAGAAGCATGGTAGACACACCTTCAAGAAGCGTCCACCGCGGGCTGGAGTCTCTTCTTTCTGGGAAGGGGATGCGAAAAGGTGGGAGGGTGTCGCCTCGGTGGATTGAAGACATCCATTCGGAGCACTCAAGAGACCCAAGCTCACTGTAGCCTTGCAGCCGACTGGAGAGTTTCACTGCGCCCACCCAAAGAGTCATTGTGGACACCAATTCGAGGGTGGTTTGGGAAGATCGGATAGAGTTAAACGCCCTCCGTCCCCATTCCGCATGTCACGCGACCTTACAGTTACTGTACAGGCCGTAGTTGAAGAGACCGAATACACAGACAGAGCAACTCCAATTTCTACCCTACATTATTCAGATTCAGACCGAACCTTGCCAGACAAAGTAAACCAGTGCTCACCTGTCAAAACACACGCCATCCCCAATGACCGCATTGCTTATACGTACCGCACGCGGGCAGGGTGGAGTGATGCGCTTCCACCGACGTCGAACGCATAGCCTGGGCAAACACACAGGAGTGGCCCCACCGCGTGCCATCCTGCGTCTTTCAAGCTCGACGCCGCCACCCTCGCCACATCGGTGCGATGTGCGGCTTCGCGTGCATCCGATTGGCTGCACACACTCTCTGCGCAACGTGAGCCCGGACGCCACTGGCATCTGAATACAATAGCCGAAGAGCAGCCCCCCGTCGATGCAGGGGGCGTCGGTCATCTGACCGAGACGAAGCGCATCGAGGACGTCGAGGGCGTGCGTGCGCACCTTCTCGGCCTTCTCGTCTTCCGCGCACAGGCACGCGCGGGTCCAGATGGTGGCCTGCGGAGAGAAGTTGGGCGAGCGAAAGAGTGGCGAGCCCGAAGGCGGTCGGGGGTAGAGAGGGGACGAGGGAGCGAGGAGGCGATCTGGCGTCGCGACCTGCCAAGCCCAAGGTCACGCGCACGGCGTATTCGTGCCGAAGACGATTGGCCTTGGCCAACTGGGAGGGCGTTGAACTACACGAGGGCCTCTTGAATGGACGAGTCGGTGGGATTCCTGTGGATGAATCTGTAAGCTAAGAAGCGCTAGCGCAGATCTAGATGACAACCAGGCAACGAAGTGTCGCAATAGAACTTGTGTGCCTCGCTGCCTACTCAGTCTTGAGCAGCGCTTGCAAGTTCGCGTGAACATAGGACGGATAGATCCAACTCACAAGATTACACTGGTTACTGGTAGTATGACCTTGACACGTCGCAGATAGCCGGTAAGAGCGAAGACAGCTACCGTACTCGCCACCGAGCTGCGCGTGAACGCGGACGGCGCAACGTAACTTCGCGGATGCAAATTGCGCTGCCAAGCGGATGAATGGTCAACAGGCCTCAACAGAAGGCAACAGATTATTCTACCCCGACGTCCAGGGGCCCTTGACAGCCACCCCATCCCGAAGCCGTCGCGCGCATCGCTCGGCAGGCGACCTCTTCCAAATCTCGGGGTACCACCCATCACTCGCGGCAGCATATCGAAGCTAATTGGACTCTATTGACGGTTGCGTAGCGTTCAATCAGCGGCTGGTCCCTTGGTCACCGTAGCAGCAGAGTTCATGAACAGACGAGTTAGACCAGATTCGCGTCCGAAGCGACTGCGCGCTCGCCCGAAATCACGATTCCTGGGGCCAGAAGCCAGCGCCCGTATATCTATATCTAGTGCGTCAATACCAACCGCGAGCTAGCGTCCAGAAACAATCCGCGATTGCGCTACTGGCAATGAGCGTGCCTGAAAACATACCCACGCATACTCCGGGCGCCGACGTATTCGGAGTGGGGGGATCTGTGCGCATTGGCTCGTGGGCTCGACGTATGCGCACGTACAACATAGGTCTCAATGTTGGGTCGTCTCCGTGGGCTCTGCGTTGCATGTTCGCCTCTCATGTGGGCCTGTAGCTCGCTCCCGTGTTGCGACCACGTCGTCACCGAGCACCGCGGACGTCGAACTACGCCTATTCATGACCATTCTCAAGCAGAGCGGTCCTCTGCTCTGTACAACGTCCTGACGCCTTCGCGTGGAGCTCGGACGAGTGCTCATCTGGGCAGTAAAGCCCCCCACGCTGCCCATCGAACGCCTATCATGACCGATCTCAAGCAGCGCGGTCCTCTGCCCGTACAACGTCCTCCAGACATCGCGTCGAGCCGAGACGAGCAGTCGCAGGTGCTCATCCGGGCAGCAAAGGCCGACCTTCCACGCCCAAGTCCCAGCGCGATCGGCATCAAACATGCCTACTCGGGGCAACGCAGAGCCACTTCGGTTCCTAGATCGACGACGCAAAGCCTCCGAGCGAGAGTCTGACATGCCGGAACGGACATTCGGATGCCGGATTGGATGGACGCTCGTACTGCAGCCCCCCCCCTCCTCCTCCCGCATCGGGGCGCCACAGCTGATGCGGTCAGCTGGGCGAGTGCGAGGAGGGGAGGGCACGGGCGTGCCAGGGAGCAGAGTCAGCTGGCCCCACAGCGAGCGAGCGAGCCAGCGAACCACACACTCCGCTGGAGGTTCTGCAATACGAACACGGATGGCACGATCAAAGCCGGCGTTGCGGTAGGAAGAACAAGGGCGCAAGCGCCTCCTTCCTTCGTCTTCCTTCGTCCTTCGATCGAGGGGCGGGTGACGCCATGACGTCGGAACGCCCTTGCGGAAGCACGGGGGGAGGGGGGCTGCGTGCCCCGGGGCGCACGAGAAGCGTGGGAGGCGCGACGGCACGGGTCAGCGGACACTCGGACGTGGGCTCGGAGGTGCAGGTGCTGTGTTGATAGCGGGTGCGGGTGGGAACGAGCACGGCGGATGACACCGCGAGGGGGGGCAGCAGGATAACAGGGCAATGAAGATGGATGGATGGATAGGACGGATAGGACGGATAGGATGGGACGAGCGATGGCCGAGGATGATGCTGCAGATGGCGCCGTGATAGGGAGCAGTGCGAGGCGAGCTGCGAACACGCGACGTGCGCCGAACACAATGCAAGCTGGGGGCGGTGCGCGTAACGTGACTGGAGGTGTTCGGACCTGCGAGATAGGAACGCTGCAGGCGATGTCATCATGCGAGAAACTACGAGTCGTCGTGCGTGCCGTCGTGCGTGCCGGGTGGCACAAACGTCCAATTGCAAGTTTCGACAACACGCATATGCGAACACCGGTGCGGTGTTCCGAACGATCACAAGCGGTGGCAGAAAAAATAAAGATTTGAAGAGAGAGAGAGAGCGAGCTCGGAACAGGCGGAGCTGTTCCGCGGAGGTGAGTACCGCCGGCGTTGGGCGTTCCGTCGTCCGTCGTCTCGTAAAGCTGTCGCTTGTCCGCCGCTTCTCCTTCGTGCAACTGTAAATCTCGCGGCGAGTGACGCACGCGAGGATCACGCGGCCTGGAAGATGCTGCAGATCACCAGCGGGCCCGCGTGGGTGCGGGGCGGGTTGGTACGGCGACGGACGCTCATGTGGCAGAGGAATGGAGAGAAAAAAACACACACAACAATCAATTGCAGCTCGTTTGCGAGCTCGATCGGATTCGGGACGGGTGCAGCGGGCGTAATACAGACATGCGTGCGCCCGGAGCGCGTTTCATCATCCGTCCGTCCGCGCGCAATTGTTATGACGACGTTCCGGGGACACATGCCCCCCCCCTCCGCTCCTGGTTGGTGCGCACGCGCGCCGAGCTCAGCGCAACTCCGGCTCGCGAGCAGATGCAGCGGACAGGGCAGCGGGGGCGGCCGCTTATCGATGGGACGGGATGATTATCGGTGAGCGTAGTGCAGGCGGAACATCATGCCGGACGCTAGGCCGGATGCATGAGGTGGGAGGCGTGGAGGGACTGGCCAGGAAGGACAGAGGGTGTGTGGGGAGCGAGAGCTCGCCAGCGCTGGGTACCACATCCATCGGGGCGGATCGACTTCTGGCGGTGGCAGGAGAGAGGACGGGCAGGCAGCTGATGGTGCCGAGGGAGTTTTCGACGATCGGTGAGAGCGAGGGAGAGGCGAGTGCGGGGAAACAGGCGACTCCGCCTGCGTCATGATAACGTTACGTCCCCCTTAGCCGCGGCCCTGATGATAGATAAGATCGCGGGCCACGCTCTTCTCAACGCCCGCAGGCGGCAGGCGATGTGCAACAGCCGACAGCGACAGCGTCGAGCCAGGACGCTCCAATCAGGCCAACTCGGCTCTCATAGTCCGCCACGCGTGCCTTTCGAGGAAGACAAGTCGCAGACGCGACGGGATAACACACGCGTGCAAGCAAATGGATTACACAATCAGTCAAGACAGTGTGCGGACAGCCGAGTCAATGCGTGTGACAGAATACAAAGCGATGATGGGGATGAGGGGGTATGTACAACGATAGCAGCTCCTCTCCGACTCTCCTTCCTTCCTCCATTACGATACTTCTCGTACACCGGCTGCTTGCGTAAGAGGCGTGAATACGCGATCGAATATGAATAGGGGGTGCATGACGCTCGGGCATGCGATAGGTCGTGGTGATACAAGGGGTTGGTGGATGACGTTGCATGATCGAACAGCGAGAGCAATGGTCGATTATAGGTAGGCGAGACAACTGTACGACGGGTGCTCGTCAGTGCTCTGTTGCGAAGGGATGGGAGCGGAAGAGGACGACGGAGCGCGGAGACGGCCGGCGCCAAGGGAGCACAGGGGGTGTGTGGCGGTGGGGTATGGAACGCGTAGAATGGAGAGGACAGGGAAATACTCACGTCGTAGAGCGAAGAGAGCTATGATACAGATACGACGCACGTTCACTTGAACGGGCACGTAGGGGCATGCGCGCCGCGCCAGCCGCAGTGGCAGCACTGAGGGGAGCTCGCGGATGTGGGGCAGGACGCGGACTGGACGGCGCGGGAGACGGGGGCTGCTCCGAGTGAGGGCGCGGGTGGTTGTGAGGACGAGGAGTGCGCGGAGCAGCAGGCAGCGGAGGGAGATGCGTGCATGATGGGTGGTTGCGGTGTTGGTGGTGGTGATGGGTGCGGAGTGAGTGTTGTCTCGGAGGAGCTGGGTGAGGCTCGGAGGGTAAAGGCTCGGGTGGTATGCAAGAGAGAAGTGCTGCTGGAGGGAGGAGAACGGATGGTTCGGCGGACGATGGGTGGGGAGCGGGCTGGTGAGGGGAGACGGAGGAGTGCAGCCAGCTTTTATGCATGTCCGACTCGTACTCGTCCGCAACGTCCGGCAGCAACGAGCGTTCACCTACCAATCGTCCCGGATATGGTAGGTATGCGAAGCACGTCAACAAGGTCCGTTTGAGGCATGTTGGGCACAAACCCATAATTATCATATTAAGTCAATAATAGCCAGATTCCATCGTCAAGCCAATCGTGTCCCAAAAGCGGCTAGCATTTGTTCATCGGAGGAGGACGCTAAGCCGGATATGGCGCTAGGCCACATCGACTGCCAGATGCGGCGCGATCCCAGAGCGACGCTACAGCTCCTCCTCGCGCACGCGCAGCCTGCTCTGCTCGGCCTTGGCTGCCCTCGCTCGCACTCGCGCTCGCCTCCGTCTGTGACTCATCCGCCCCGCACGCCGCCCACCCGTCTTTTGTCCCCGAGAATGCCCTCTGCCACTCCCCCGGCCGCCTATCATGTCGCCGACACCGCCTCTATCCCTTTGATCTCGCTGCGACCTGTGCCACACGCCGTTCCTTTGTCCTCGCGCCGGATATTCCGTGCTCTCCAAACGCACCGCGATGTGGCCCACGGCCTCGAGGCAGGCCAAGCCGTCGCTCGGCCCCTTATCCAGTCCCGATCACCTTTCTCTCGACTCTATGCGCCTATCGAGCCACAAAGCCCTTGGCCGCCATTGTGTCATGCCACGCCCCGCGTACCGCGTCACCGCCGTCACCCAATTGTCGCCGCAAGCGAGGGCCGCACGCTCGATATGGGCATGGCCACAGCGGTCGACGCCCCCGGAGGAGGCTTGTGGCGCGGCGGGTTGCGCACCTGTTGCCCCGTCGTCTCGAAACGGGCACCGTCATCCGCTTACGGGGCTGGAGGCCGACGCGCTGTGGCGGGCATTCTCTGCGTGAGCTTCTTTGGCCCCAATTCGCGCGTTCGATGGATCTCGAAGGTCGCGAGTGGCGATCCCATCGCGATTGTCGACGGGCGTGTGCGGGACGGTTGGGCCAAGGACGACGCACGCTCGTCGCCCCGATGTGATGCCCTCGTCGGATTTTCGACGACCTTCGCGTTGCTGTCCAGCGCCCGTCCTGGAGCCCTCCAGTCCCGCGCCTCGGACTATGCTGCCGTCGCGCGACTGCGAAAGCGTTCGTGTCCTCGGACGTAGAGTGCCCGACAGAGTCTCAACGCCCGCGCACGGTGATTCATGATCGTCTGGCGTTTGCGCTCCCTTTCTACATCCGTATACGCCGTGTCGCGCAATACACTCTTTTTCTCACTCGCGGCTCCATCCCGGAAGGCTGTCTGCGAACCTGCCTCGTCACCACCCCGACGGAGGCTCGAACCACCCTTCGCCGCGTCTCGCCCGCTCTGGCCCCCCCCCGCACGCAAGGGGGGCCAGGATGCCCATGTTCGGTCGGCGCGCAACGTAAGGTCACCGTGCAAATCCCTGCCAGGTACGCAGCCGGGCAAGTTCGCTGACGACATTCCGGTGGTAGTGCTGGCGAGAGGTTGGCCCGCGGCGGTCTGGGTACCTGGAGTCGGAAAGAAGAGAAGAACTCTCGCTGCGCGCTAGTGGAGAACGCAGAAGACGGCTGCAGGCAGATCGGAGGCCTTCGCAGCTCGCGCGCGTGGCCCCTATGCTGCTGGTCGTAGTACGTGCTATGCTGCGTGCGTGTGACTGGTGCGGCCCTCGTTCTCGTCCTTCGCGCATTCTCGCGCGGCGCCAGAGAGCGCCCGCACGTCGTCACACACGATCGCGACTCGCACTGGGGGAGATCGCAAGGCGCTCGCAAGGCTGCTTCCCTTCGATCCAGTCGAGCCCAGCTGCAACCTTGGCGCACGAGACGCGGCCACGCTGGACGTCGGAGCGCACGTGAAGCTGTGTGGCCGCCTTCTCTTACGCGCAACGCGTACGCCCTCCTCCAACACACTCACACCCTCGGTGCGACGGTCCCGGAGTCCATCGTCTTACTCTCTCCTCTAGCGCCCCCCGGGTCCACCCCTTCCGTATTCCACTCA